AACGCGCAGCGCGAAGACGACCCCAGCACCATAAATGGGTAGCGCCAGTTAAAACAACATTCGCAACCGTAAATATATCCTATGCGGCGTTCCTATCAGAAAACGGCCCTTATTGAACTTTTCCGTTGACGAGTCATTCGTCGAAAAGAGAAAATAAAGATACTCGCTGTCAGACAGCATAACGTAAAACTTAAATGAAAAACGTGAAAGAAACCGCAGATAATTTGCGCGCAGTGATGACAACGCCTACAGTCCATTCAAGGTATGTGCACGTCCTTTAATATTATACTCTTCTGTGCAAAAGATAGAGATGCTGATTAACTATATACGAGATCCTCTGAAGCGTTGCATTTAATTTACCGGCGATGGGACAATGTCCCATCAAACATTGACGTCGTACTCGTTTTAGGTACACAGGTTTTATTTCAATTCACTTATGTTCGGAGGTAAACTGGCTAGGATAGTTACTTGTCTCCTCCAGATCTCCCCGTAAAGGCCTAAACATTCATGATTAAAACTAATACCTGCAAGTCATAGTAGGGCTCAAACTCGCATGGGGTCCAGGCTAAATATATAAAACGAGTGCAAAAATAAACAATCTACATCCGGACGGATATCGTGCTAGCTTCTCTATCCGCTGTTATGATAAATGTGTTAAAAGCAGGAAATGAGGGCGGCTGACGCCAACACAGTACGTCTGTTGTCTTTGTTTATCTCTACGAACGAACGTAGTCGTACCATCTTTCGTCGTACCAAGAACGTTCGTAAACAGTAGTGACCATGTGTATATGCGTCGAATGCTTTTTCTTGTCGGATCACAGCAGCAGCAACTTGACAAATGTTTATGCGCATTTGAATTTACGCGCCTACAAACGTGCGAAGGATAGCGAGTAGCAATGAGACTTTCAACACCGCTAGTTCAGCGTTTGCTGAGAAGCCGAAGCGCTACGCCAAAACCATCACTGTTGGATTGAGGAAAACCGTGTCATATGCCTCGAAAAAAACGAGTGGCACACGAAGGGTGAATAATACATACTTAGACAAAGACTAATGAAAGCCAGTAGAGAATAGCTTGCAGCATGCTTGCCCCATGTGTCGTCATTGTCTCTATGCAGTTTGCCTTAGCAGAGCACGATAGAGCTCATAATGGCCTGATAGGCTGATACATCAGCAGCGTGCACATCCGAACATTTGCATCCGTCTTCGTTGTCCATGCCACTATGGCGCCGTCCCTGCTTCTGCTTACGCTGGGGTAGCGGGGATAGAAGCCATGAAATGTCATGGTGATCTAAATGGTTATCTAGATACAAATGGTTCTTTCTTTATTTCTGCTGACCTGACTGGGTGGCCATATGATGCGACAGAATCAACCACCTTGCCAATGCCTACGCAGGCGCTCAGCACGAGCACTTACCATACGACGACAAATACAATTAAATGCTATGTAGTCGGCATTTAGATGGGCTAAGCATATCTGTTTTGAAATAAATTATTCCAGGATATGTATTGATAAAGCAAGAAAATTAATACCTTTTTATCGTGGATATGGATGACTTCTGTTCAGTTATTCTGACAACTTAAACCAGTTCTTCCAATTCACTTAGCTATACCAAAATTAAATATGCTAAAGGCTGGCAAAATTATTGATATGCCACAAGATACAGATACGCAATATGTTCTTCCCTGTAGCTCAACGTCAGGTAGCTTTTTCATCCGTCACCAACGACCCACTATGTTGCTTCGTTGATGATGACTCCTTATGTTAATTAACTCCCTTTGCTTTGGCAGACGCTGATTGAGTAATTAGTTAGGCTCCCGAACATGGCGTAGACAGACTAGAATCTCATGTGCCTGTGAACGCTTGCTTCCCGCAACTGTCCTAAAGTTTGTGCCAAGTCGCATGCTTTCATTGTTATTGTTAGTCATACGGAGATCTGTCAGTCATTTACAGCGGGTACAAGCGTGTGTTGTTCAATTTCATATAGAATTCGTGATCTATTAGCCCGTGTTCCGTGTTCTTTAAAAGATGCACACCTCTGTCCTATAGAAGCCAAGTTCGGTAAAATTAGTCTGATGTAGATTCTCTAGCCTAGCACCCTGAGTTAAATAGACTTATTGACTGAATGATAAGCGTATTTAGTAATGACAATCGTAACAGCGGAGTAAATGATAACAAGCAACCACTGTTATTATCATTAAGAGCAGATATTTCGGCAGTTAGCGACTAGGCACGCTTCTGGTTGCCGCGATTTGACAGAGTTTTTGGTGGTGGTAGTAATGCCGCATTGGTTCTGGATCTATCCTCAGCAGTTAATTGTCCCCTGTTTCTAGCCAGAGTGGCCGCGCCACACAACCTCTACGCAACTATCCAGCTGGTCAGCCTAAATGTGCTATTCTATATCGCGCATCAATAGATACCGTCCAGCGACAAGGCACTACTCTCAATTTTTCTTACGTAAGTCGTTGGCTACTGGCTAACTGTAACAATGCATTCAGCTGTAAAAGTAATGTGGCAGGGCAACTTTGTTACCACAGCCTCCGAACTCAGTGCAGCCAACAGTTCAGTGTTTCAGTAACGGCGACTATTTGCCGCACGCCGGTCGGCTGACTACCTTCCTGTACAGCCAAATAACCCGCACGTAGATTCGGTCGTTCTTGTGGCCACGTCTGTTATAGATAACGTTGATCTAACCGTGCTTGTCAGTACCGTCGGCGACTCCTGCCGACTATTGCGCAGTGCGAAACGTGAGTCATCGCTTCGATTATTTATCGAACGACCACAGCAGCAGCAGCAGCAACAACAACAACAACAACGGCGACAACAATGACAATGATAACAAGAACATCGCGAAAGCCAGGTTGAGTGCGCTAGTTTTTGTTCGAGATTTTACGCTTAGGTTTTGATAGATACGACTGTTTTTCCACCTTTGACCATTAGAATGACAACCTTCAATAGAATAAAGAGTACATAAATAATGGTAGTGACCATAGCTCATATTGGTACCTGGCATGATACAATTTTCGTATCGGCAAAATGCGTAAAACCGCTAGTACTGGCACGTCTGTGTATCCGTATATACGCCTCACGGATGGGGTGTCACCTTAGCCCTCGTATAATAGAGGAAAAATGTATTGTATTTTCGTATGTTTTTTCTGTAAATAAGATAGGCGTTTCAAATGACCCTTTTCTAGTCATAGCGGCTATACTATCGTTTCTAGATGACTCTGATGTCAGCAACACGTAAATATGTTAGTTATTTTATAGTATAAAAGACTCGAAATCTCGTTTTGTAATTTTCTTACAATTCCGTATTACACCACCACTGGCAACACGGTTCTGAGCAAAAGCTCATATATCTGCCGCTGGTGCTACTATTGCCCAGTATACTCTTCATTCTTCTCTAGCAGGAGCTAGCTGCGAAGCGTCTATGCTAAAAAAACGAGATTAACTTAAATAGTAGCGAGAAAGATGCACTTTTTTCATTTATAATGCTTCTTCCTCATAGTGCTATTGCTGTTGTGTGAGGACAGACAAATGAACAACCGTGCGAAAGGGGCAAATGAAGCAAGAATGTACATAGGGCGAAATTGTCTGGTTTTCGGTCACCGGTGGCGCCGGCATCGATGGGAGTTTGAGAATAGTGTTTTTATTTTGTTCTCTTTCTCTGTCTTCACTGCCAGGGCAGCCGCCGCCTCTAGCGTCGCTGTTGAAAACGCCGCTGTTCGTCGCTGGTTCATTGCGGAATGGTCTCCTGGCGAACCATGGCCAGCTCGTGATTGATAGCGCGCATTAGGTCTCAAGGGTTTCTCTTCAGTGCTTCCACTATTGTTTAGTCTTCGGTCGTCTTCGTCACTCGTCGACGATATGGAGAGCCCCGATGACTGTCATCTGTGTATCAGTCTCTCTTCCTATCGGCATCTATGACGAGTTGGTGCCGGATTAGCTCTAGTTGATTTAGCTATCCGGCGTAATATGGGAGAACCGGTTGCCGCTAGTTGGCCACAACAATAACTCAGGTAGAAAACAATTTCTGGCTAGAGGGAAATAATAACACGCAGCTACGACTCTTCTGGGTTGTTGGGCTTGTCCTGGCTTGGAGCCTGCAGCTGCCGCTATTGCTACTATGGCTAGTGGCGCTCCTCCTTATTGACTCGATAGATTCCTTGTTGTGTGTTCAATCTCAAGAGTCGAAATAGCAGCAGATACCGTAGTTACGAAAACAATATCAGCCAGTCTATCCTGAAACCGTGATTGACTCGCTGCTGAAGCGTCAGGGTACACTCATGCTCATTCATACGTAATCCGTTCCTTATCAGACAATCAAATCCAGCCGAGGCTTTGGTCTGTACAAGCTTATAATGCACTCGAATGGATTTATCTGGTTATGTATATATTATCAGGTAGGGGCAATATAACATGTCCCTGAGAGACCATGGCAGGTTGGATCGCACTCGAGGAAGAGGAGAAAAAATCTGTCATAATATCATGCTAATTGAGATCTTCCCGGGTAAGTCTCGAAACCAACGATCCAATTACCACTAACCGACAACTAAATAGCAAATAGCAAACAATTAATTCTATCATTTTATACGCGACAAATCTCAGTGGAAAATAGCTTTCTGTGTAATGGATGCGTTGGCATTAATAGTTAATGAAATAATGCTCACGTGAGGTGCTTCTGTACCACAACTCTTTCGTTTTTCACAATTTACTCGGAAATTTAAATACATGTCATGATTACAGCAAATTATGTTCTGCATAAACGCATTGAGAAGCGTACCTGATAGACAAACATCTTTACAAAAAAGACATACAAACGCAAAAGTGTTTGTGGGTCATAAGAAATGTATGGGCGAAAACAGTAAAAGGATGGATGAATGTCATCGCGAGTTATACACTAGTTGTTTATTTACAACAAGCACGAACATAAATTCAACATTCGGTTCGCATGACAACATAACTATATTCATTATGTGATGATGTGAAATAACCGACTTACCTCCCGGAGTCGTACCAAATAGTGTCCCTCCCGGTGTTTGTGAGTAATTAGCCGGCAATTGGCTTGGATTTGTTACACGACGGATTGAAATCGTTTTTGCTGACGACATCTTTATTTCGCACACACGATTTTCGCGCCTATTACTCGTTAAGATGATCCACTCTGTAGCACCACTACGAACGCGGTAGCAATCGATGACTCTCTATCTGGAGCGCTAATAATTGCTTGATTTTAGTTAGTCTTTCTTTTTACTGTTAGCTTCTTCAAATATATCAGTGGCTCCAGACTAGTGAAACGTCAATGGCAGTCTTAATTAAAAAAATTTTCAGTATCATTTCCTTGTAATGCCTCAGTATGTATAAGTTTGTGCGAATTGCCACAGATCAAAAACACGAATTAGAACCACCAACGCTGTAAAGCAAACGAAGTTAGCTGAGTAGTTCCCGTTGGGAAGCGCTCTTTTTTAAACTAAGGAGATTTGTCTTGTCTATATTTCATATGTGCATATACGCAGCATTTGCAAGGACGTCAGGCCACACGCTAGTTCGACATTGAGGACGGGTTGCGATATCGTAGAACTGGGTCGGCTAGCAACAACTACTTTGTTGCTTCTTAAGCAATGTCTAACCGCAGCGGCGGACGTAAATCTCGAAACTACGTCGCTGTTGTGAGGCCAAGTAATAACGAATGTTTGTCGACACTTCTTCTATGGTTGTTCTTCTATGACTGTTGCTGTTGTAGACAACGTTGAGTGGGCCAATGTGTCCCCGGGCATTGAACGAGTGTTGACCCCCGGCGACTGGGTCTCAATGGCGACTGACGTAGCGCTCTCTTGTTCGCGCTGCTAGACGTCAGCGCACTCCATCTGTTTCAACTCGAATGCGGCGGCGTAGGAGGAGTTACAGCTCTGACGACGACAACAGGCCGCCACTGCCGTTGTTGTTATGGCAGCCGATGTCGCTGCTGGAGCTGCACTCGCTCATCCTGACACCCAGTTGCTTCGAGCAAGGAGGGTTACAACATAGCGCTCTAGAGCTGCCTGCTGCCGTTACTGCTGCTGCTGGAGAAGGGCCACGGCGATGTTTGGCTGGTTGTCTGTTGGTCCGTCCGTCCGTTCGTGTATCCGCGCGTCGTCAACAGCGAATACTGCAGGCTGTTGCCGGTACTCCGTGTGAACATTATGTCCGTCCGTGAGCGTATCCGAGTATGTGATTGTCTGCGCGACTGCATAAGAATGGCTGTCAGTGTGTATATTTCGTGGAGAGGACAAACAGTGGGCTAAGCATTAGACACAGCAAATCGTGGTAGTCAGTTATGCGTAGCATTTTTCTGCTAACAATCGATACATTACCTGTTACGAGTCCGCACCGCTCTTTCTCGGTGACGATGATGATGCTAGCAATGATGATATTGACGGTCTTTGTAAGGGGTAGATCGTGGCGTGGCGATGAGACGACGACGACGAGGACGACAACAACAAGGACAAGCAGCAGGTTGGCGAATCAAGCAAGAAAATTAAAAAAAAATCAATTTCATTGCAACTGAAAGTGTGGCACGAAAATTTACTCAAATCATCAGTCAGCCGAGTGTTTTTATTCAAATGCACTCCTTTGTTCAAACGCCTATAAAACGTAGAGTATACTCTATTAACAGCATTAATTAGCTATGTTCACACTTGTTTCTTTTTTGATAGTTATATATCACAGATTTATTTTACTGTCATGTCACTGCTCTTTTTTATTTCTTAACGGTAATAGACAACGTAGATAGATGACTAGCTGCGCGTGACGTAAGAATTTGGCTCCTGCCACCGTTGGCGATACCGTACGCTAAGGCCTAAAGAATAGGAACTCCAAATAGCACTAACGTGTTGTCATTTACATGTTGACTATAAAACTCAAGGACACGTGGTCTAGGTTGGAGACTAGTTGGCTCCCAGCGTGAAATCGGGCGTGGACACACCTACAAAGCCTTTGATTCTCAAAACGGACACCGGAGTACAGGCTTAACACATTGGCAGTTTTCGCACTAAGCTGCGGATATATACCGGAACTGCTTTAATACGCGCTGCATAGTATTTCGACGACTGAAAAGGGGCCCGCTTTTCTAGCGGGTCATGGCCTCAAATCAGGCTTGCACGGTTCGCGGTACCACTGTGTCCTCTTTAATTCGACATAAGAGCTCGTTGTCGACTACATATCGAGAAACATCTGCTCCTGCCAATGGTGATGTCGTAAAACAAGGCTTATCACTCTGATTTTTTTTAAATCGACCACTCCAAGGCCTTCCAACCCCATGACGGCCATTATTAGAAGCTTCCTATCCTGAATGGGCCTTCGATCCCGAACCAGATTCCGTTGCTGCACGCCACGACGAGCATTTTAACCTATTACAAGCATTGGCTGTCTCTGCCATGCTCAGTTTATTGATGCACCTGGTAATCACAAGTGCCATGAAGTACGCCGACGCTACGGCTTTATGGTGATTGACGAAACGATCACGCTGACACGAATTTTTCGCGCCTTCTATAATTACGTTGAATGGCAACTTGCATTCACCAAAAGAAATCCTCCCTTTTGTTTAACTACGTACAGGCCCTCGTTATTTCTTTGGACGACTACGTAGGTTTCTGCCGCTTCAGATAATGCTGGAAGTGGAAACCGTTTAAATAGGCAAGCTTTAGCTCACCCATAATCAGAGCGATGCCCACGTATATATAAGCAAGTCTGAACGGACATTTAGGAGATCATCGTAACCACACTATTTCAGTCTGAAGCAGTTAAACTTTCTCTTGGCCGACCGTCAGCCTAAAGTGCCTCGCAGCATCAGACTCTGCAATCACTTTGCACCTCATCAAAGCCGTGAAATGCGCTTGCTTGGCCCCATAGCCACGTCCAAAGATGTGTTCCTTTGGCATTCTTGCATCGAGTGAAATAATAGTAGCTTCGGTGGCAACCTAAATTTTCCCATATTTACTGTCAGATGATCTGCCTTAGACCTTCCTTAACCTTGCAGCTTAATTTGTCCAAACCCATATCGATCAGTCTCGTGGTAACTCGACTTTATCTATTAGTTCTTTTTATCGGCGCCAATTGCAGCAATGGCACACTAGTATGATGTAAGTAATGGAAGTGATTAATGAAATTTTGCGATTCTCGATGTGTGATGCCGTAAAGAAGATTTAACGGGAACCAATGCGGAGCGGCGGATGAAACGGTAAGATTGAATGGAGTAGATCGGGGAGATAAGTGAGTGTAGGATCGCCCAAGGACAATGACACAGGGTATCGAAAGTTCAAGCATTACAGAAACCCAGGAGATACCTTCGGGAGGTAAGGCTGGTATGGCTGAACCGACACGTGTCATACGGGAGTTGGAGCTACCCAATATCGTTGAAACCAGAAAGCATTCGTAGGGGCTAACTTAACGTCGCTCTACTAGATTCGTCTCTTGATAACAAAACGTTTCTACTAAACACCACAGTTTTCGTTTTACTGGTTGTATCATAACAGCACATAGCAAATCTGTACACGAAATTGCCTACCCGCCCAAGTGTTTTGCCCGAGACTACTTTCCAAAAAGCTCTAATTGTTGGAGAAGTTTCACTTATGGCAGTAATGGACCATGGGCTATAAGCCCTCAAAACCGATTTCCGGTTGCAGTATGAACGCTAACCAAGACTCTAGTTTGTATTGTGTTAGCACCATCCGACTGTTAAGTAGACACATATCGCTTGCTAACCCGACCTTCATTGGTAGGCCATTCTTGCAGCAACAATAAAGGCACATAAAATGGTGAGTTTGAAGAGCTAGAGGTAACTACCGGAATAAGTATGCTTGATAAAAGTTGGTCATGCTTGTGGGAAACACCGCGTAGCGTTCGTTTCTTGCGGAATATTCTGAACCACTGGTGTTCTCAATTTCTAAACGCGCCAAGCTATGCGTGAGTTAAAAGCGCAACGTAAAACGGAAAGAGGAATCCGGTCTCAAACGTGAAAATACTACAGCAAAGGCGATATTTGTACACGAACTACAGTCAACAAAGAAGTTTAACTTAACATTAAAAGCAAGTGTAGATTCTGTAAGGCGAGAACTTCTAACGTCGCAGCAGCCCAAACTCAGTAAAACTGCGTCGCCCACAACAACAGCTATAATTCGATTTATGCTACTAGGCAAGTCAGCTGTGAGTACAGCAGTGCAAGGCGTGTCAAAGTATATTTTTTTTACCTCTCTAATCTCCTTTTTAATCACATCTTCGTTCTGTGAAACGCATCCGAAAAAAGTTTCAACTATAGCTTTGCTATTTTTTTTTACAGCGGGGTGACACGGTTGTAGCTGACGTAGATCATACAAAATTCTAAACCACTATTACTATATCACCACCACCATAATCACATACTACAAATCGCTGAACTGTTCAAATACATAAAGCCGATGTAGCCAAAAAAATCGATTCGTTAACGTTGAGCGTATCTGTAGCCCTCCCCTACCTACTTGGGGCTCGTTGGGTAACACTTTTTTCAGCTGACACCAGCTCACCTCGTTATTCTCGTTATTTGTTTTGACGAAGATATCAATATATCAGCCCTTCGACACGCTGGCCTTCATTATTAATTTGCAGGTACAAATATCCGTTTCTAAGGCAACAGCCTGCACGGTGAGAGTTCTGGCTAACTAAAATAAGAAATACGATCATTTGCTACGTCAGCCAGATAAACAGATACTATTTCTTGGGCTTCAGCAACTAAGATCTACGGGTGGTGTTCATTCACACCGCCAATAGCTCATTTTTATTCTGCCAGTGGTTGATTTTGCTAACAAAAATCAAAATGCTTAGCGGAGATCGCAATAACGAGCTTTAAAGGCCTTAAATTTGAACTCTCTAAACGGTGGTATTGTATTTATCGCCATCCGTTTTTTTTTTTTTTACTTCTATAACAATAAATCCAATGCCAAAACAATCTAAATTATTTCGAGCTTTACGTCCAATATTGCCGTTAGGCTTTCAGACGGCCAACCTCTGACACAAAAGAAGTATGTCTATGCCCGAAGTCAAATCTGGATCACCATTTGTCCCTATGATTAGCAGGCAAAAACGTCATCCACTAAGCAGTATCTATAGAAATTTAGCCAAATGACTTGCAACCCCCTTTCTGTAGCGTATAACCTAAAACATCCCTTCTGCCTTTTTGGCGCTACACTGCGTTTACAGCAGACATTTGTTTGTCTACATCCGTCGAATACGATTTGCTGCTTTGATCCTGGGAGAACTGGCTTACATCGTCTATCCATGCTGGAAACCTGTCACACCGTTAGCAGACGATACTTCTGGTGAGTTTGTTATTGTTGATCTTATGAACGGGTATATGTCTGTGTGTTTATGTTACTAGGAGGCTCTTCGATTCTATTCAATGTGTGCCAGACAGAACAACTCGACAAGTGGTGGCGGAACTACAGCAGCAGCCATAGACGTACTCCTAGCAGTTGTTGACGCTGGTAATCATTTGTAGTGATGGTGGCATGTATAATTGAGCTGTGAATGTTTGTCTGCATGTCTGAGTTTGTGTACGCCTGGAGCGGATGTTTGCCCTGGGTGTTATTTTAGCTTAGGAGATTGTTCTTATCGATGCCGTGATGTCTGTGGCCATCTCGCTGCTGTTCTAGTCGAAGCAGTTCTAGAGCACGCGAGGATCGAGCGTGGCCAACCTTACAGGATCGGGCGCACGCATACACAGACCCAACAAGTCAACGGACCTGAGTAGCTGCTGATACTGTTGCATAATTCTTTCAGTAACTTAAAACTGGTTCCCTATATGTGCTGCTTCCCTGTGCCTCGAAAGTTCCGAAGGAAGGAGAAACCAGCTTGTCGAGTGTGCTAGGTGGCTCCGCCGCTAACTGCTACAGATGTGCACCTGAGCGAGAGGAGTGTACAGCAAGAAAAAGAAAAAGGAAGTAATCGATTAGGGCCTAATATTCGTGCGGTGCTCCTCCCTGGCCAGGGCGCTCGATCGAAATTTTAGAAGTTGCTGAAGTTGTGAAGCTATCAAGGAGGAACAACTTGTGCCTAAAACCTTCGACTAGAATGAGTTTTTGCTTGGCTACAAGAAAAATCTGGAACTTTTAAAGCGCCCAAATATTTAACAAGTATGTAACTAATGAAATAGACATGTAATATATAGTAACTAGAAATTACACCGGTTAAGAGAAGTGCCCGTTAAGCTAAGAAGTGTAATTTAATTCATTATTATTAATATAATAGTATTGTATATATCAGATTAATTGTTATTATGATTAGGGATAGCAGTGGGCAATCTCAGACGCAGTGTACACAAATAACGGTATACTAGTGAAATTCATTTGCAGTTTTTATGCATTTGTATCAAAGTATTAGCGATTGTAGATCGTAAACTGAGGAAACTGAAGACAGAAAAACTATATCAACAGATGCTCCCCGTGTTAATAGTTACCAAAGATAAAAATAATAACAATGAGATAATAGCTACTGAAAAATCGATTATGTGAGCTAGCATAGTAAGTTACATTTAAGGAAATTCCTAAAATACTGAAAATGTAAAACATAAAAAAGTGAAAAAAGAAGCTGCATCTAAGTGTCAAGTGCTTGCAGAAAATTTGTGTAGACTATCGAAAGAATCGCGTTTGCTAAAAGAAAACGCATTAATGGACAAACATGCATTTAGACGTGACATAAAACAACAGTCAATATTTAATCTCAATAATGACTGAATTCCACCTTTGCCATTATTAATAATTCTACATAAGATTTATTATGTACTCAAAGCAAGCTTTGTATTTAATCTAAAGCTAGTAAATTTTCCGGAAACCGTATTTTACGCGAAACTTTCATCCTTAAACAAAAAAGTATACAGATTTCGGCGAAATTCGACGCGATGGGGACGTCATCGCTTGATTGTTGAGTAGTGCGCTTCGACAACGGTAACGGTCTTCGACGAAAGAAATGTTATGCTGAATTGCGTTTGTTTGTACAAATTGCTGTCATAATCTTTATTAATTCATTCCGCAACTTACTAATACGTTTATCCTGTAGATTATTATCTATAAGTTCACAAGACCCAATGTTTATTTTTCTTGCTGCAAGAACTGACCGAGTTCGACGCTTCATACCCAGTATCAATTTCTTGAACTTTTCTCGAGCTTGATTAGTCACTTTGTCGTTTTTTGAAAAACGAAAATGATTATTTTCGTTTGCACCCAACCTATGTCCTTTCCAGCTGAGTAATTGCGCCTGTTCTTTATAGTCCGTTACCACCAATATTGATAGAAATTCAAGAGTCCACCTTGCGCCATCAGCATCAAGTTAAGTGCTACTGGTTGGTCTATCTCACAGACGCGACTCAATGGTAGTAGTGCGATATTGTTCCGTTCGTACAGCTTAGTTCAGTGTCAGCGGCTCGGTTTACTGAATGCCAACTTGGTGTGGTCAATAGTTTTCATCATACATTAATATCGTTGTGTCCTAGTGCAAACTACATTACTCATTAGGTTTTGTTTCTAACTAATAGTTTCGTTCGATTCATTTGGTGGTTAAAGGGGTAGAGTCAGACATGAATTGCACCATTTTCCGGCGCTAGACATACTTGTGCGAATATAACAGCGTTTTTGTTTTCTTAGCATTCATACATGTCCATAAAAGCATTGTGTTCATATGTGTCAAATATCTTTTGAGCGATGCATAGCCGCGATTGCGCAAGGGCCAATTATTATTGTCGTATTGGCCAATCATTACCACCACATGCGATGTCCTTTATATAGTAACCTATAAGTGCTCGCTGACATTTTGTATTCTATAGATCGGTTAAGCTTTGTTAAGCAGATAATAATGATGAAGATGATGCGAATAAGTATTATTCATATCATTATAATTACTATTGATGCATTTATAATACACACAATTTCTACCCGGTTTTCATAAATAAGTCGATTGCAGTAATGTTATTTTTGCTCCGTGTAATTTAATTGTCAGTGCAAAAAAACAACTTATTAGCGAATAATTTCATTCTTATAGTTATAGGGTGCCTTACATACTTTTTCAGGTAATTAAGGCTATTCTGAATCCGAACAAAGCACGTTTACCATAATAAGAGCATCCCACTAAAAAATCCAATTTAATGATTTGCACAAACAGGGCTTATAAAATCTGTAAACATTCCCTTAGCAGGCAAGTCGTTCGTGTCCTATAAGCTGACCTAAAACGATAAATGTCTGTGTTCACAACAGCAACATAGTTTATTATAACTTGGCCTACTTACAGGAAAACGCCCAATAGGCGTCATCCCGTGTACGTAAAATAACGTTTGTATTGCTAGTAATAAATATAGTTCTAGATTTTACGATTACTATTGCACGGTTAAGTGTAATGGCTATATTATTCTTCAAAATCGAAAGTTCTACAGGAAGCAACACGTTGGCTTCGCTTTAACAAAAATTCAGAGTCCGCAATGATTGAGATGACTATGAGATGTTTCGCAAATTACAAGTGTCGTTAGTAACACTGTTATATGCCGCAGTAAACAAAATTTCATTAGTTAACAATAATAGCTAAGCATTAACTAACAAACTGATCCATGTGAATGATTCTATTGTATCGATATATGGCAAAGCTCACGGGGAAGAATCGTGGAAATGGCGACGGCGGCCCCTCCTGGTCAACTCAACATCTCAGCGCTGTTCAGCAAGCTGCTATCGACAAATCCACCCAGGTACATGCTGTGTCTGCTGTCAGCAGATTGCACTATGTATTATTATCACTACTGTTAGATCAATATAAGACGTTTCAAATAAATTTATAACACGTATAAAAAATTGCCTTGGCAAAAATTTCAAGTAAATATTGAGCGTGTTAATCGTTGAGTAGTGTTTTTGTGTGTTATTCAATTTAACCAAATAGGAATGCCTTGGATCCACGGATTAATAATGAAAATACAACAGTAGCTACTGCGTTATCATATATACGTACATTTCTAATTAATTATTAATTTCTATAGCATTTTGGGATGTTTATTTAGACTGGAAAGGTGGAAATGGCAAGGAGTCGAAAGAAATTTGATATATTTTATGCTTACGACTTTTGCAAAAAAAAATATTGCAGGAATTGTAGATAATATTGTAGGTATTATATATTTTTGTAAAATCTTAAAATGCCTGGAAGACCGCCAAAGAATCACATGTCCTGCTGGCACTTGATTATTATGTTCGTCACAGATCTGATTCGTACTTATATTAAACTTCAAAAGTTCGCGAGAACGTTCAAATTAATTCTGCCGTTGTAATGATTTGGTACCGGGACCAGGTGCCTATGGCTACTCAACATGTTCCTGGATCGATCTGACTCACACAACAATTTCCGTTAGAAAAATCCTCCATATGGGAATATAGGACCTTCATATGTATGTAGTTCATACAAATGTACGAATGAAAGGAAAATAATGTACTGTCGCGGTAGTGAAGCTAATAAAGTGCGGGAATAACAGTCATGAGATTTCCTTTTCGGTTTTTAACTGATAATGCTTTAATAAATAGTCCAAATGTACCAGCAAAGCCCTTAGATATATTTGACCAACTTGAGTGTCGCCACATTCTGTAACTCTTACATATCTAAGTTCACCGCGTCGCATTTATAAGGTCGTCACCGGGATTTCCTGAGGAGTTTCAATCCTGTGTAAGCATCTGTTTTATGAACTGATTTGTTTTTTGTAATTCTCTTGTTAATTCAAGCATCAGAAATACCTCGATCGAACATATCTCATAAGGGTGATAATTGCTCTTAGTTCATTGCTCATGGATAAGGAAATATTAATTTTAGTTAAATGTAGTTTATAGTACCGTTTGAACTTTAGCTTTCAAGTGTGTAATTCAATAGATACTGTTTCAAACATAACTCAACTAAGCTCGTAAAAAGTCTGGATGTTGAGTCATTTTCATACAATTAACAATCGCTGAAGAAGTTGTCTTCACTCGCGCCTTGAACACGTATTTCGGAGAAACGCAGCGATCCACAGACTCTGCTGTTCTTAAATTGAACGGCTTCAGATTATAGCAGGTGAGGTTGCGATTTTCAACCTTACTCTAAGTAGTCAAACTAACTCATCCGCTGCGCTACTGTTCGAGCACTTTGATGGCGCTGCTCTGTCATACGTTGATTTCTGTTCATTTTTATCATTGTTGGCCTGCCGTCGCAATATGCGTTCACGTACATCATCAAGACACTATTAGCGTTGTGCTTCTGCTTCTAAACGTTATATTATGAAATGTTTTCCGGGAACTTCCGAGTAGTTGTAAGCTTCTTTTTTTATTTTGCTAGCCGCAAGGATGAAGATTTCTGGTAATGCCAAATGCGCTTTAAGCCTTTGGCTGGTTTATTGCACACCTTCCAGACCTTTTCAAGTTCTTCCAATTTTGTATCTGAAGGCGGTTTCTCACTCACATTTTAGATCATATTCACGATGTTGAGCAAGTAAATTGGCTGCTGTTCTTGCAAACAAATTTACTCGCTATTGGATTGTACAATTTAAATGAGCACTCCAGAGTACAGTAGTAGTCTTACAGTGTCTCAACATTTTATGGCATTACTACAAGAATTGTTTCTATAAGTTGGTGTCATAAAGAAATATCCTTCAGTCAAATTGAGTTCAACTACCATATCGATAGCATCTAAATGTAAATTCAGCAAAATACTGCATATGTAAAAAAAATCTTGCAGTATTTCACTTTATGCAGCGATTAATTATATTTTCAGATTCGTGATTGAACGAAAGACTATTGAAAAGACATGGAAGCTTATGGACAAGGTAACGTTTTAACTAGTTCTGTTCGTAAAGATATATTATACAATATTAAAGGTACCATTGGTAGCTAACTCGTTTATACTTGGAGTTATTTATCAGTTCTTGAATATTTTCATTACTTTTTTTTACATCTATGCAGGTGTAATAAATGTCAAGCAGTTTGATAGTTTTATGATCAGCTTGAAAATCACTGATACTATTTGCCACTTATGGGACCCACGACGCAGAGTTCACCGTAGCGCGGATGTTTAGTTAAAACATTATCCATATCCATTATTATAAATCTTCAAGTACGAAAACTTCGTCTGTTTATACGTGTCCTCGTTTTGATTATGTTTAAATTTGAATCGTCGATATACTTCAATTTTGCTAAGTTTGTTCACCCTCCAGGTTGTAAAGCTATGCCAACAGCCTCGCGTCAACTTGAAAAACTCACCCCCGTTCATTTTAGACCTGTTGCCCGACACCTACCAACATTTGCGGCTCGTATACGCCAGGTAAGTGCTTTAAAAGCCTTCCTTCTCTGTGCTTACTGCACGAACGTGTGGGTGATTCTTAACAAATGAATTAAGAATGTCCATGAAACACTACGGATCCTATGAATTGCAGGCAAGTATTATACGTACATATAATTGTTACGTAAATAAAACGGTTGGGTTCTCTTGCCTCTTTTTGCTTACCCTCTCCTTTGTGATTTGGTTTTTGTAGGTACGAGTTGGAAATGCATGTACTAAATGAAAACGAATTCTTTCGGGAATTTCTCGCGAACTTAGCCCGAAAGTGCAAACAAGCTAATAAACTGTTTAAAGAAGGGAAGGTACGTTAGTTTTCTGGTCACTAGAGTAATCATGTTTAATTTAAACAGTACTGTAATGCTAGGTTTTGGTTATTGCCACTGTAACAAAATAGATTTTTAGGTCTTCCGCTACCATAAAATATACAGCGATCTTATTATATTTGCGTAGTAGCAAGAGTTCAGTAGTATTTTCTTTGCTTATTAAGTACAATCGATTCTTCTGTAAAAAATCGTAACAATAAACATAATGGCGTTGTACGAAATATTTTCCTCAGGAGAGGATGTTTGACGAAACATCACCTCAGCGGCGAAACCTCACCAAACTTTCCCTGGTTTTTTCCCATATGTTGGCTGAATTAAAGGTATTACCGACTTTCTTATTTTATAGTTCTCGCCTCTTGATTTGCTAATAGTTCTCACAAAACTGAAATAAGGCGGTCAATAAGCGAACCATAAAGGTGTCTAAACTGATATATACGATGAATTGGCTCAATTGCGATTTTGCAAAAAAATAACAGGTATCATGCCCTTAATTTACATTAACTTTCATTCGCACTAAAATAAACTATCTATGTTTGAACTAGAGAAATTGGTTGTCTGATTATATAACAACGTTTTATAGGCGCTATTCCCCGATGGTTCATTTGCTGGCGACAGCTTTCGAATCACAAAGGCTGACGCCGAAACTTTCTGGAGAAGCAACTTCGGTAATAAAACGATCGTTCGCTGGAGGTTAGTATATACACTAGAGAATCGCGAATAATTTTCTGAGTTGAGATGCCAACCATAGTGATCATCGTCTACTTAGTGATTGTCGATACTATTTAAGCTTTACTGCTTTTGGGTGTTCTACTGTTGCTAATCCGCAGCGAGTTCCGACGCGTCCTGCACAGCGTTCATCCCATTTCGTCGGTTCTGGAATCGATGGCATTGAAAGCAACGATCGACCTTACGTGTAACGATTTCATATCGTGCTTTGAGTTTGACGTTTTTACACGACTCTTCCAGGTTTGAATTACTTTTTATTACAGACAAACGCGTAGTAAAAGAAGAAAGATGTTCCGTGGGCTGACTATTCCAGTTCTATTAACAGAAAGGACAGCTTTTTCTGTTTTTTAATTGTAATCTAGGAGGTTTGCGCCTCAAATACAACAAATTCGATGACCTTATAGTACCAGCGAGTCGTCTAACAACATACGTCTATGTGATATTTCAGCCTTGGCAGAGTCTTCTACGAAACTGGCAGATTCTTGCTGTTACACACCCAGGATACGTTGCTTTTCTCACCTACGATGAGGTCGATATCGTTGATATTCTACAGTTGTAATTTCTCTAATTCAAACCTGTATCCCATATATATTTATACATAATTTTTTCTATTTTAATTTTTTATAAATTATTATTTTTTGGAGTCATTGGTGGTTTTCGCTGAACGCGGTGCTAGTAAACCTAAAGCAATTTCCAATATATCGTAATCGGCGCTATGTTAATTTACGATGTGTTAACAATTTATTTATAGATCTTTTTATTGTACCTTATTTATTTTATGTTTATTTTATTATCGGTTCATGCAGGTCAAAGCGCGATTATCAGCATATCTGGACAAGCCTGGCGCGTACGTGTTTCGATTGAGCTGTACAAGGCTCGGTCAATGGGCCATTGGGTACGTATTTCCTTGTAAGAGGTCATTTGGTGAAAAATCATTATTGGAAAAGATCGAATTATTTAAGACATTTTATAAAACCTTATTGTTATTGAACGCTTTCTCTCTTGCATGTCTTACAGATATGTGACGGCGGACGGCAGAATTTTCCAAACGATACCTCAGAACAAATCTCTTTGTCAAGCATTGCTAGATGGCAATAAGTAAGTTATTATTTTAGTCAAAAGGCAAATTTATTTGTCCGTTGTTGTTAAAGTACGTGGTAGAAAAATATCGAGCCTAATTGGGATAGACAAAGTACAGCTAATTTTAGTATACGTATTATTCCTTTTTTAACATTGCTTAGTTTTCCAGTACATCCAATAAGAATAATTGCATCTAATCATACGTATAATCTAGTTTGTTGGTGCTCTTTAGTAGAAATGGTTTGTCGCGCTGCGTTAGGTTCGATTCCTACAACGATCTTCTTGTTATTTATAAATGTACGTTTTCAGGGATGGCTCGTACCTCTATCCTGATGGACGTGCTGTCAATCCGGACCTATCATTTGCCGTCAGAGAAGAACCAGAGGATCATATACAAGTATCTCAAGAGCAATACGAGTTATACTGTGAGATGGGCTCCACCTTCCAGCTGTGCAAAATCTGCGCTGAAAATGATAAGGTAGACATCTAGTCCTTTACAATGAAAACCAAACACTTTACACTGTATGTTTGACACATTCTCTCTGTTAGCATTCTATGGCGTTTTTTAAGTATATGCTTGGGTTAATGTTAGCTAAGTTTAACTGCTTGTATTTTACCATTATTATTATTTGTCGGTGGCTTAAGAAACTACTAGTAACAGAGCTTCGACCTTGTTTGCCTTTTTAGGACATTCGACTCGAGCCTTGCGGACATCTGTTGTGCACACCCTGTCTATCGGCTTGGCAGGAGTCGGACGGCAGTGGGTGTCCTTTCTGCCGACAGGACATCCGAGGGACCGAGCAGATTATTGTCGATCCCTTCAATCAGCAAAATAATAATGACGATTTACCGCTACTTCACAACCCCCAACAACAGCCACTACTACAGCAACAGCGATCGCCATGTCAACTACAGCCACAGCTTCAATTACACCAATTACAACAACTACAGCAGCAAGGTACACAGCAAAGTCAACAGCAGCAACAACTACAGGAATCACAACCATTGCAATATCAGACGCAAAACCAAGACCGGTCAACAACGACAGTTTCTAGTAGCATTTTGACCGACACAACTTCAGCCGTTTTCGCGCAGGCCAGCTCCTCAACGCAGCAATCACATCAGCAGAAGGGCTCGTGATAGCTGACAAACGAAATAAGAATTGAAGGCGAAAAGGAGATTGCTGTAAACCCACTCCAAATGTAAAATGAAAGGACAAAAGTTGTCCATAACACATAGAGATGTATGTATGACATTGTCTGTACAGTGACAGAATATCTAATAAACAACAGTGGAAGCTGATTCATCTTATTAATGGCGGCCACGATAAAAGCGGTACCATACCACGAATTTTACAACTCACTGTACTTATTATTGAATATTGACAAAGCGTTTTACAACTAATCTTGTTTGTTGCCAACAGAATGAATACGCGTAAAATAAACACTTTGTTGCGTGTATACACTACATGACATGCAAGGCTCACGTAGGAAGAACAGGTAGGTCTTCCAACTATATACCTTCAATTGACTCACTACATAGATAGTAGTTATAAGAATGGCTAAGGCAGTCGAGAAAAACGTGACACGCCATTGTTCGTTCAAACGTTATTGAATACTACTAACGAAAATCGATATTAATGACTTTTGTTAAACATTATAGTTTGACATGACTATTCACGAAAAGGGTATAAAGTGAAGCTAAATGTTTCGGCCAGTTGTTTATCAAATCGCTTGCAACATGACTCATATATACACATTAAGTGAGGTGTATCTGTCTCATTTCATCCACAGGGAGGTTATGAGACAGAGCTCAATTGCCCCGGAGTACAAAAATCATCGCTCACATAGTTACAGGAGGGACTCTTGTATATCTAGCTTGAACAATGCCAGTTTGTATTATTCGTAGATCCACCGTGAAGCATTTCGAAGGGTGTCAATGCATATATATATAAAAAAAAAAAAAAAAAAAACTATTAATTCAAACTTTACACTTACGCCTACATCAGCCATGACCATAATCAGAATACTTGGTCACTTACAGGCACTTATGAATTCGTGTATGCATGCTATCATCAAATACTTACACGTGTATGCATGTATTTAAAACTGTTTTAAGGTATTTAGTTTCTATGATGTATGAGTAATCGACATATTCAAATTGATTTTTTTTAGTGAGTTACTGAGTAATTAAATTGACCGACACGAGGCCTAGCTAATCCAACGACTGTTATTCTAGTAAAAGATTTAGTTTGTACAAAATTTGCAATCTCAAGAAGGCCCAGCACGCTAAAATCAGCATCAAACGATAGTGAAGTCAACAATACAATAACAATAGTCTTCAAAAACACGATAACAAAATTATGCAGTACATTCTTAATTTTTCTGTTTTCTAGGCCTACGGCGCTTATCATTGTGACAACACAAGTACAAAAGCTTTTAATAACAATGTGTCCCTTTGTCGCCGGTAAGATGCACTGACTGATTGCGCTATTTCTCAATGTCGCCAAGACGATAAGGTTCCCCAATAAGTGCAAAACATTTGATTCATCTTTGGCCTAATTAGACAAAGACCATGATGAATTTAAAAAGATTACATAATTTTGTGTAAGCAGCATTTGTCTTAAGACGAATGCTTAGGTTTACGCATATGAGTACACATAATAGCTTGTTTCGCAAGAAGATAACTTTGAAGGCTTGAAGGGCAAATTGTTTTTGGGAATGTAAATGACAGATATATTTTGTAAATACGATAGATAGGTCACAATTTCAACTGCGCCATAAACAGGATGATCAGGAGATCATAAGCCTGTTAAAAAAAAATTTAGTAATATCGAATCAATGGAGCAGCTATGTATTTAGCGAAAGCTAAAAATATAAATGATTTCTATATTTAAAACCTTAACAGAAAGGCCCATATATGGGCTTTAAAGCGACGCTTATTTACGCGATCTAATAGGAAGGGGAATTGAATTACTGAAATGAGTTGCTGTTTTTATGCGAATATAGAAAAAAGCTGATTGCCTCTTAGACCAACTATAATTGACTATTGTACCGGCTTAGTATGGATATGTAGTGACGAAGATCCTACGTGTAGTAAATAAAGACATTAAAATAATAATTACCTTTGGAGTTTGTCCTACGTATTTCAGTTATATCCATTTAATTCATCTTGAATTCTCAGTTGTTGCTGGTATTATGCATACTGAAATCAGCAATTAGTGAGCGCGCGTATATTTACTACCGCTCATTTCAATCTTTTTTTTTTAAAAAAATTTTAAGCGCTGCTATTAAATGTTACCTCAGACCTCCGTCAATAGATTGCCACCTTTTTCGATTACTGGCAAATTAAATTTATAGCAGGACTCGTATATAATGAAGCGAGCTTAAAAAAGCGGCCGAACACGTTCTTCAACATAGTCAATCATTTTTGATAAGACGGAATAAACAAATTGATCCAGAAATTAGAGAAAGTTGTAGAGAGTCGAGGCGAATAAATGATAAATTAGTTAGTTACCAGAATTCGGGTAAAACATTACATTTGCATTAGGTAAGACCAAACATCAGCAACTTTAGACCAATGATATTTTCCTTGGCAGAGACCGTGGAGCCGAAAGTCCGTCAGCGAAATCGCGAGTTCACACTTGCAGCATCGATTACTCTTAGAAAGAACAGTGATTTCGGTAAAGAAGTTGTTACTGTGACGCTTTTGTTTTTATAATGCTCTATTGTCACTACCATCTCTTTCGTGGTTAGCGAGATCTATGATCTGACCAGCAAAGAAACTTGCATATAGGTTATTATCCCAACCTAACACACAGCTGCCTTCTATTTTCGTAAAAAATTCTGGGTTCATTTAGTTTATAGAACAGTATTAGTGAATTATTTTTTTAATTGCGTCTGGAACGTCAGCGAGACCAATATAAATATAAGAAATCAAAATAGGTGTTATGAATGCTCACTTATTCAATCAGTATAAAACGAATTCGTCGGAAGCCTGGTGTTTCGTAATGTGTTTAATTGTCATCAGTAGAGTGAGAAATCGCAATCGCCGACTATAAGGGAAGTCGAAAGTATTATGCGAAACCCTCTGATTATCCCAACGGAATGAAAAACAACTTTTATGAAATTGCGTAACCCAGCAGAAACGAAGGCATCGACGGTTGTTCGCTATCGCAAATCTAGCAAACTCTCATCATTTTGTTTAATCTATCTCATACAGGAAAGCACACGCATGATTATTCTAGCCACGAATAATCATGGATTACTTCGATAAAACTACTCAGCCTAAAAATAGGAAGACCAAAATATAACGCAAGTCAGTACATTTTTTTTAGGTACTACGTTGGCTAGACTAGTGCAACGTACTGCCGTGGCCCCAGCGATAGCGCAGTGGGTAACGTGTGTGGGCGATAAACAGGCGGCGGTGTTGATCCGAATCCGATTGTTGTGAAATTTCACTTTTTAATGGAACCCAGCCTTCTGAAGTAATGACAAGCAGTTTAAACACCACGGGTGAAACACAAACTTCCCATGTCTTCGTTCCGCTAAGATGATAAGCATTGTTATTTTCACTTATATTGATTTGTATTTTTAACCATAAGAGAATGTGCGTATTGCCTGGGATCAACCAACTACGATATTGTAGCCTCTAGACAGCTTGGCGTATGCGTCCGCAATTGAAATAGTGGACGAATTTGCTTTTTACGAAATACAAATCATTCTTTCCGGCAGGTTTTTTGGTGCCTTCTAATCCCGGCTTGTCACAAGCTGAAATGGTCTGCCAAGCAACATTCAGGTGGGTGTTATCAATGATTGGGTGAGTGTCCAAACTGCTTAACCAGACACAGTCTTTAAGGGTTTTGTAGTTTCTGGGATGAGAAACCACAGCCTACGATGTTCTCAGCACAGCTGATTAATTGCTCACAGGGATGCAAGCCAGGCACTAGTTGAGTTGGAATGAGCGGTTTCACTCTAGTGGAGTTTAACAGATACGTTGTGGAATTGTAGCGTAAAAATCGCAATGTGCACAAAGCGGTCAAGGGGATATCGGTGAACGATTTAGGTGATGTAAAACTACACACCCGCAATAAGTTCTCGTATTTTGTGGTAGTGGGTGTGGTCATATCTTTGGAGATAGTAATTGCCAAATATCACGTAAATGAGAAGTCGTTGATTTCAATGTCTGCAGTGTATTTTTAAATGTAAATTTAAATGTAAATCTAAACAAGACTTTGAAGAGTCTAGTTTCTTGTTCAATTAGTCAATATACGGAGAGAAACGTCTTAAAAAAGAAAGGCTCGTAAAAGCAATTGTTTGCAACAATAGCAGCAGCTGCGGTACACAGTACAGGTAATTCGAATTGCTGATCTAGCTTGGAATAGTTACAATCTGGCGTATGTTATAGATAAGAGTAGCTGGGTTTGCTGAATGATTGTCTACAAGAATGCACGAAATGTGTGAGGGCTTATGAGAAGTAATGCAATGTACCGTATTTGTTGACACAAATAAAGATATTATATAAGAGATAATAAAGTAACGGTTTTAATGGAATATCTGGTTTGATAATCTACTGATAGTATTGTCCTTTTATCATTATAGTTTGTGAAAACAAAAGTAAGCGAATTACTCAATACACTCAAGTGTCTAGAAGTTGGGGTTTATTTTTAGATGAATTTATACTATAAAATCTATTTTTGTAGATACCTGTTTTGTAAGCTTTAATTCCTCCAAAAGAACTTGTATTATTCAGGCGAAAGCGAGATGCAGTGGAGAATAGCGGTGTACAGCCAGTTCTAAGTTTCACGCTTAAAAACGTTTTGTAAAAATGTTTACACGGCACACTTCCTGCATTCAATAAACCTGACAAAACGGTATTTATTTTATGTAAAAAAAATTGACTATCCAGGAACAAGTTAATATTTGCAAGTATAGTTCATAATACCTTACGATAAGTCACACCTAAATCGATTTCAAAACCGAAGCAGTACGGAGACGATACTGCTGGTGGAACGGTTATATCATAGAATGTCTGTTGAGAGTTGTATTAAGCTATAAGTCACAGCTATGATAACCAACCTCACATGTCTAATCCATGTATAGGGGCACACTAATGCATAGTTACGTTTTAAGCAGAGTTGTTGAATATTTTAAATTATTTTGCTCAAGTAACTTTGCACTGTATGTGTCATAGTATTCATGACATAACGGACTTAAATACTATAGATCTGCATTAATTAAGTCGCGTATCCAACTAAATTAACCGAGTTATGCATGCCATCCCCGCCTTTTTCCACCGGATGCAGAGGTGAGTTTATACGAAGACAACTGGACTGTTCATAGGTGTGCACTAAACTCAAGCTCTAGTCAGCGCACTGATTTGACACTACGATGGTTGTCGACATAAATCCTGTGTACTACGACGTACCATGGCCGTATCTGGCAGCTTCCATCGATATCCAGTTGGGGCAACTGGAGAAAGCAGGAACGGGTCTAGCAGGAGCTGTTCACCAGCGTGCTATTGAATACCAGCAAAGAGTGACAGATATTCGACGAAGATTAGAGATTGCCAGGAAAAAAATTGATCAAATAGCCAAGGCTAAGCAGGGTATTGTTGTAAGTATTAGATTTAGTGCATTCGTTATAATTCTGGGGAAATTTTTAACGCTTATTTATTTACAAACGTTTTAAAATTCGTCCACGTTGGCGGCTGTGATAATAAGACACTTTCAGATAGGCTAGACTGTACTCGTACAAGCGCGTACACAGGTATGTACGTAATATATCAGTTGCAGCCTCGACAGCATACGTCCCAAATGATTGTGGCAATTGTGGAAAGCAAACCTTACAAGAGAAAAGCTACTGCAAGCTCTGCCAATAATAGACATGCTAAGAAATGATCAATGATATATTGCATCGTAACAGAAGGCGTGGTAATGGGTTCTCGATTCATTTTTCATTGAGTTAGTCAGATTTCAACGAAAAATACGTCAGAAAAACCTAAAGAATCTGTCGCATTTATTACGGTTTGTTTTTTTAGCTACTTATTGCAGCTGTCGCAGTCGATGCTAGTTAAATAAAAAAAAAAAGCTTATAGCACGGCACTTTGCTTGCAGATGTACTCTCCAGGAACCTACCCGGTGTCAAAAGAGAAGCAAAAAGAGACCTTTAAGCGACTCTTCCCTAAAAGTCCGCTTGTATGTGCTCCGGCAATTGCCAGCAGTTTTAGACCCCTGACCTCAGGTAATTTTTTTTTAATAAAAAACATTTTTATTGATCTGCTTTAATTTGAACAAACGTAATAATTTGCCAGAAGCATGCTAAACGAAACTCTTTAATTTAGTGAGATGAACCAACATATGGTGCCGAAAACCACAGAAAAAATGTTAATATTTTGGCCAACATATAATAATAAAATGCCTAAAATAATATTCTTTTAATAGGTTATTTATATAATCGAAGAAGGTTTAATAGAAAATTTAATTATTAAGAATTCTGGTACAATAGAAGCTCGTCGAATTAAAGAATCTGCGCTTTGTAATTTAATGTGTATGACAATAAATGAAACGGTTCTTGTGCAGGTCTCACGAAACTGAAAGAAGGCCTTCACTTTTTGGATGTTTGCTCGCCTAGTGCCAGCTCCGACCCTTTAAAGCTTGCCCCACGAGGACTTGGGAATATCTATAAACGAAATCTACGTAGCGTAGCCGACCTGCTTATTTTTAACACAACTATAAATCCGTGAGTTTACCTTTAAAGATTTGTTTGTTATTAAAATCCACACTATGAGTGCAACATTTTAAGAAGTATGTTTATGTACGATATATAGATGTATATTTCGACTATAATTATTTATTGACAATTTATGGTAACTATAGCCTTTGCTTAAGTAATCGATTTTCAGGGAATTCAAATTTGCTATATATAAATATATTTAATTACCTGCGAGATTTATGGTAATTACAATCAGCTAGACATTATCTATAATTAATTGAAATGAAAATGAAAAGAAAATTTTCATAACTTGAGGATTAAGTCTATTTCAGTTGGGCAATCTTAGAGATTTTACAGAAAATTATGGTGGCAATTATGGCATGGATAACAGGTATTCGGTAGAGCCGGTCACAAAGGATGTAGTGGCCGAACAACCTGAAAAGGTCAATGGTGATCCTAGTCATGTCGTTCAAATTACCAGCAGCTCCGATCCCCATGACTCCTCGCTTACTTTACTTACACTGAAAGAATTATCGAATTCCCGTGGAAACTCTTTGGAATATCAGCCCGGGGCAGGATCTACTCCAGAGCTTTTGTTACCGTCCGATCTTCCTCTTCTAGATGGATTCGTTACAGACCTGCCCGGTAAGGATCATGCTGAAATATTATTTCTAAACGTATTTGGTATTGTTGTATATTTTGTGTGCGTGTTTCATATCCCGTTCATAATTTGTTGTTGTTTACCCAGATCTTTTACCCAGTATGATTTTTGATGGACCACGGAGCTCTTCCCCCATGCAGCGTCCTAGGATGCCTCTGGATGACGGCGACAATCATGTGCAGTTGCCTGACATTACCGATGGTGATCTCGTGGAAACGCCTCAGTCAACGACGTTCTTGGTAGGCCTATCTTTTGGTATACTCAAGCCACCGTTTTTAAATGGTGGTGGCTTTTTTTTGTAAAGTAATAATAATCTATACGTGTGATTGAAATCAGTGCACACATTGTCTATCGAGACAACTAACAACACAATTTGCTAATTTTCTAAAGACTCAAGTGCCTCGGCGAGGAAAAATTTCAGTACTACTTTTCGGATCTTGACACATTCATGCCTAATGGAGTTAATTATCGACTTAAAATGTGTTCTACACAAGAAACGTAGTATTAGAATAACTGTGAGTTCTAACGAACGTATGTTTAGTATAAATAATCATAGATTAGATTTCTCTGAGAAAAGTGACATGCTTTTTTTTTTCTAGAATTCTGAAATAGATAATGCGCAGATATTACAGAATTACATTCAGTTTCTAACGACTAATACATCCACAGTGTTTGAAAAGGTAAACATAACAATTCCGCAACATCCTAAAAAACGAGCAATTTTTGTGATTTAGTTTACAATGGAAATTTTTAGAACAAATCAATTTTCATTTAATGTCAAGGCACCGCACATCTTTACGTATGCATATATAAACGTATCGTATTAACTTATGATTATTATATCAAGTGTATTAAGTGTAAACTTTCATTAAAGTCTCAATTCGTAGGATTTGTGTGTTCAGGAAAAGAAAAACGTATAGCTACCTTTACAGCAATCACGAAAAATAAATCTAGGTTTTGTATTTATAATTCGACGTTTTTGATTTTTGTATTATGTTATACCACCTCTACCATTAAACCCATATAAATCCACCGCTTGCTCTACCGCAGCCGTCGCTTTCAAGTGTTACCTCGACGCCTCCGCCTCCGCCTCCTCCTCCGCCTCCTCCTCCTCCTCCTCCGCCTCCGCCTCCTCCCCCGCCTCCTCCTCCGCCTCTTCCACCTCCATCTGCGACCATAATTAGCAATACTAATGGGGCGCCTTCGCCCCTAGTGGCTCCATTGGTGAACGCCGAGACAGGCCCGGCGGCATCTACCAGCCCTTCCGCTGCCCTTCCTGCTGTTCACAGCTCGCTTCTGGAAGCGATTCGTAACAGTAACGGAATAGCAGGGCTCCGAGAGGTCAGTGGGTGTGGCTCTTCACATAAATTCTAGTACTTTGAAATTGACAAGTAAACAATACCTATTATTGTTAGTTGGGGCATCTAGTAGCCAGTATGTGTTATTTTCAATGTACTACTTTTCTGACGAAAGATTCTGATTTGTTTTCTTTGTTAGTGTCTTGTAATTATAAAAGTAGGAACCTATAATTTTTTTTCGCTCGAATAAGGATCGATTAATAGAACCTTACTATTAACGTTAGTAAATACGGATTATTAATAGCACTACTAGCTTGTCAATCACATTCGTTCTGATACCATTACTTTTTATTCACAACCCGTTGTTATTTTTATTATGATCTTATGTTGTATTCACGGAATCTGAAATAAACATAAACGCATGTCATTTTAAGGAATGTCCTGCCAGGTTGGCAAGGTAATAGCTACTATCAAACATAAGTGTGTTTCTATATTTCCTATCATTTTTACCACCTTTAGAGAGCGAAGCTGACCGCTTCGAGGCGACCTGCGCCTAAAAAACCAGGTGGCGTAGCCCCAGTTATAGACCACATGGACGCACTAAAAGCACGTCTCAGCCAGCGTCGACGAGACATCGGAAGTGGCAATAGAAGCGCAGCAGCCCAGTCCGACGTGATAAAATACACACGGCAGGAAAACTGTGGAATTATAGGAGAACTCATGGATAAAATTACTAATCGGCCGCCAGACTCTGATTCTGAGAATTCGAACCAGGGTGACGACGACATGTGGAATGACTGACCGTCAATCCGAAGAGAAGGAGCTTTTTAGAAAAAAACACACATACACGGTGAAACAAATATTTCGGAACAGTTTAGTAAAAGTTATATACAAATGAATTTTTTAAAGCTGTCTATATACATAACACGTGATTCTAAATTTTTCCGGGCATTTCAAGAATTTCTGACGTAAATCAAAGCTGATCGGTTATATTACGTAATGCCAATTTGCTCATTGTCTCTGAATTTAATTATAATAAATTAAATTTTTTGGAGACAGTCGTATACCACATAACAGAACGGCTTTAGACCATGATAAGCGTTTTGTTTATAGCCTTTGATTTGTTACCGCACGGATTATTTTTAGCGTGCTGTGCAACTATTATTGGGATTCTTCACAGGCCTTGGAAACAGACATACGCATGGGTATTCAACTACGGTCTCCTATTTTCAACGAACATTGATTTCGCTAATAAAAATTCAATATCAGGATGAACATGGGGTGTGCAACACAGGCAACTGAGTGTGATATAAAGGTAGCTTTTATTGTTATTACTATTGTTCTAGATATTACTTGGTGAGCCCATGCAAAACAGTTCACGCAAATTTAAGTCTAGCTGAACCTCATAGCAATACATGCAATTGTTTCAATATACCCTGTTTAATCTGCAGTCTCTCTTTGTTTTCATGATATTTATTATGCTTTATCCAATACAATTTGTATTAACGTCTGGTATTGCAGTTGTATGTCGGTTAAAGCTCGTGTGTAGAATATATGGAAAAAAACTTTGGTTGGTTAATTTGTGGGTGGCAGTTTTTATGATGCCAAAAGCTGTGTATAAGGATGGTATCGCATACTATCAACTAATATAGATATTGTAGATAATACAGTATAATTATCGGACGAAGAAGGGACGTGTACTTGGCGCATCTTTCGAGTATAACTGAAATCAAGTCATATCTGTAAATGATAAATTTGTCTGATACTGTTTTTTGGTAATAAAAATCAATGACTATTAATATAAAATTTCTTAATTGGATCGTGTTTTTAAACAACTGTAATCTATAAAAGTAATAATTGCTGTAAAATAAATGTTTTTTCTAAGGTGGAGCGGTTTTCAAGCAAATTGTAACCATTGTTTCCATAATACTTTCATAATTTGTAAACACATGATATATCCTAAATGATTTCTGCTCAGGTCATTGACCGACACGAGTAAATAGTCTAGTGAAGAGTGTATCTTCTAATCTAAATTTGAAATCTCCGCCTATAAAGTGCCTACCTATTTTTGGGGAAAATAACTCTTTTAAAGTTTGTGAAATCCACATAGCAGTTTTGCCTCAACTTAGAAATGAAACTACTTCTGTCTTTGTATTTTGTGTGCCATTTCATCATTACCTTGCTATTTTGTCTCCAAGGTATATATAATATCTAGTAAGCTGAGCCTATTGAAAGAAATCATAGATAGATCTTAATTTACCAGGTTACCAGAGAAATGACATAGATTAAATTATATTTCAGCAGTTTTATAAAGACTTTTATAAAAAAAAAAAATAATAAATAAGGCTTGTCTACTGGTATCTGATCAATCTGCGAGTATCTATCGATGGAATAAAACGGCCTGCTAGATGGTTACCTTCATCCACTTGTCTACTTCACTCTGTGCTTTGAAGTGTCGATGTTACATGTAGCTTTATTAAGCAGGTAAGGGTTTCCTTAATTTATAAATGTTAAGCCACAACTACCCAGCTGCTCTACGTATTCGTACTAATACCACCTGAAACGCCTTTTTTAGATTTTGTCCGGCCTACAAAAGGTCTAGTGGTACGTCCTTTGTCCTGTCCAGAAGATATGAACACTTCTTACGTGAAGCTGCTTAGCTATTTAGCTTAACGATTGTTGTTGCACAGAGTGATTTTAATAATAGAATGAGGAACAATTGTCTGTTTTTGACATTCATAGTTACTTAAAGGTAAAATGCTTCGCCAGTGTTATGAACAGTGGCATCGTAGCCTTGCAAAAAACGTCCCTGAAAATCCAAAGTTTTATCGTCTTTTTGGAAGGTTTCTGATCAGATAAACATATTCAACAACACCTTTGCAGAGATCATCGATTCTTTTATTATCTTAATTTTGTGACGGTGACGACACTCATTTTTGTTTGGCTTTAAAAAAGCCTTGAGTGTTTTAGGTGGCTTATTACGAAATATGACTTCGAAAGCATGCTTACAACCCTTTTTTAAAAAATTTCTTCAAATTCCTCTTTAGAAAGTATGGCACAGAAAAATAAAATTGATATTAACTTTCTCTATCACCTGTTGCAAGAGTAAGTGGACTGCTAAATGAGCTCTATTAAATTCCTGGTTTGGTCTACTAAAAACATAGTTCTGGTGATCCCCAACATTAAGGCTTTCTTACTTATTCTTACTTAAGAATATTTTAAAACTTGCTAAAGAGATCCTCCGCTGCGTTGAGGCTATCTAAAGCGTAACCAAGGTAGTTATCAGCGAAGTATCAAAATGCTTAAACACTCAAGTTATTAAATGTTATAAAAGGCTCACGCTAACGTCCTTATTTAAAGGCGTTAAACGCAGGCTGAAATTGAGTACGTATCCTTTGGGTTATTTTGTAGCAGGAACTTGTCCATCTGCTTTAGGTCGAATCGTTCTAGGATTCCATGTTCCGACCTTGGTGACATTCGTAAAAAATATTTTCGAAGCAATCAGAAAGCGTAGGGCCACTTTGTCTACGAAAAAGGGCCTACAGATATCTCTCAGGCATTCGGTTTATTCCTACAGTGGCTTAAACTTTGCAATAACATAAGCAATACAAACGTCGAGTCCTAATTCTCAGTAAGTCAATAGAGATATGACAACCCTCTAATAATTGGCAGTAAGTAGTTTTATTACGAGATTGGGGATAGCATATTTTTGGGGGAAGCATTACTATCAGCAAATCACAAAACTGATTTACAGCAAAGGAGAGAGCACATGGATTCTGTAAATCTGTAAATGTAAAAGACAATGACCTTACTTACTGACGTTCCGTTATTTATGATTTGCGTGCTGACACCTGCATGTTGTAGAAACTGAATTTTATTTAACAAAAGGTTCAGAAGTACAAACCGGCCGATATTTGATATAAAGCGACAGAATATTAGCTGTTTGGCCGAGTAAAGCTAAGTAGAGAGAATAACTCCGGGTATGGTGGATGATGAACGGGTAATGAATTAAATAAAGTCCGTGAATATTTTGACACAATTATAAATATTTAAACTTCAGAGGTACAATTCTAGATTTTCAAAGAGCACAAGCTAATCCTTTCGCAAATGCTATGACAGAAAGGGCTTGTATTCATATACAAATGCTATATCATTAACGAATTGTCGTGAGTAATTAATTATTAAAAGAGTCAGATCAGTGATTATAATAATCTATTTACGATATGCACACTTCATAAAAGTAAAATACGCTTTATGTGAGCATTGTCTGAGTCACAAAAAGCAACTTCCGATTAAATAACATTTTCATGCGAACCTTAACCTAATCTGTCTGATAGTAAGACTCGTTTGACAAGCAAGAGGAGTTTTATGGTAATAGGTCACGACCTTTTGTCTCTTCAAGGATGCGCTAATATGAACTTATTTATTGGAAACACAGTCAGCCAATACCATAAGCAATGCATATCCGTAGTAATAATACGAAGTGAATTCACGTATTCAGAAATTAAAAAAGTAGGCAGCATTGCTAGATGTTTCTGCAATAGTGTTCTAATATTTATATTTGTTACGTAGTGGAGTGGTATATTGAGTTTGACTTTCAATTCTGTATGCTGTCACTGACAGAGGTACACACGCTGGATTTAAGCCGGAGATTATGAAAGAACTGTTGAAATAAAAATAAATTAGCCAAACGATACGAGGCATTTTAGTTGATAAGTTTATAATCTCGGACACTTAAAAACTCAAATTTTAATTACAACATGGTGAAGATTTTGCATTTTAACCTAAATTAAAAAATCGATTATGGTAAATTATGGCTTAGATCCATTGCGCAGACATCGTAACGAAATAATCAACATTATATATATATATATATATATATATATATATATATATATATCATGTTTCCTGTGATTAAGAAAGGTATCTAAGGCTCTTCATTAAAGAAACATACGAAATCTGAAAGATTACTAGACAGAAACGGATTCATTTACTGTCGGACATAAGCATTATTCCTTAACTGGACCATTCTGTCCAGTCAGGCTTCCCGTGGTCGCTTCTACACCTGTCTTTCTCGTCTCAACTTCTTCTTCAATTCGGTCTTCTGTAACAAAAAACCATATCAACTGTGCTTGCCTCGTCCTCGTACTGCTCTCTATCACAAGCGCGAAGCATTAAATGATCAACAGCTATAACTAGTGGTGCCTTTAACCTAAGCAGCCCCAATCTAACCCTAGTTGTCTATTACATATATACCCCTCAGATATACCCAGCATTAGTGCAGGCATGATTTGTATTATCCTACACGTTTCGGTTCTAAAGAAAATGGCTCAGAAGGTTTATGACACCATCGAACACGTGACCTCAAGAGTACGAGTTGGAAAAAACCTGATACTAATATACTTGATTTAGGTAAAATAATGTCCTCAAAGAAAATTGTCGTTTGTTTAACGTTGACACCAAAAAGCTGCTCAGCTGACAGCTAGTTTAAGTATGTACACAGACAATGAAAGATTGGATTGAATCATGAGTCAAGCTCTATGCAAAGCTCGGTTGGTGCAATTTCAATGTGTGGAAATGAATAATACATATGTCTGTATACATACGTAAATTATATCGATAAATAATTCGACTTAAAAAGCTCTAGATCTGCAACAAGAAAGTTATATTTTACTAACTTCCAAAACGTATGCAAGCGGAAATGAGTAAAAGTACATTGTATTGATGCTCGCATTTTATCTAACTTTTTATAACGTGATCTATTAATAATTACTGTCGTACGATTGTTTATTTTTCCGCATTCTACTGGACACAATACTATGCGTACAATATGCACACTATTAAATAAATTGTTATATTTATCGCCACAAGCTTTTTCATTTAGGTGCTGTGATAAATGAGGATAACATTTGTTTTCACCAAATCCTTTCCTCGTTAGGAAACCAGAAAAGATTTATTCTCTCATGATAACAGAATCACAGGCATAGCAGTCGCTGGTGAAAGTGCTGCTGCCGTTGCTACTATTTGCTGTGAGCTCCGTCGTATCCTCTATTCATTAATGATGTGCACGGCGAATCATTAGTCAAGCGATTTAGGAAGCGCCAGGGTTGGCATTTGGTCCACGCCTCCTGCCGAACGTGGTCACAACGTTGACGAATCGTCGGTTGTACTGCATTCTCCTTTTGGCGCGCCCGGTTTTCTTTTTCTTTTTTTCTTGCTTCTCAACCTTCGGGGTCTGCCCTTTCACCTTTCCAGCGCGAGCCAATGACCCGTGCACCTTACCTGTAGCAAAATTTTGACAATAAATATCAATAAAAGACATGGAGTGAGTCATACATTTGAACCGGCAAACAAATTCATCGTGTCAATGCCACGCAGAATTCAATTAAGTTAGGCAAAGCACCATTTTAGAGTAATATGATAAACGTATTAGAGATTACTTGCTGCATAGAACAGGAAAAATGCTTTACTATAAGAGCGCGCATAATAAAATTGCTTTTACACCAACCTCCGAGTAGTCCAACGGTGGCATCAACGTATGATCCCTCTACGAGTATGTTCTTGAGAATCTGAGAGTCTTCAAGGACACGGCCTGAACGAGCTATGAGGACGACCTCGTCGGCTTTGATACCTTCACGAGCCGCCAACTGAGACTTTAGGGACGCGGCAGTATCGCAATCCTCAACGGAAAGCGCATGCAATTCTTGACACTTGACAAAAATCTTCATCTTTGCGCTGCAACAATATTACATAATCTCTAGGTCATTGATAAAGAAAACCATAAACACATAAAAACTAGCATGTAGATATTAATTAAACTGATATAAGTACGACATAAACGCTAACAAAAACGAAATAAATGCTAAATCTGAAAGTCTACGAACGCATAAATTCGCATGTGCTATGCGGAATTGAGGCCTATAGTAGTAGATCCAAGACGCTATTCGTAAGCAAGGCGAAGTACTTTTATTCTGTCCACGGTACATGTTCTCTTTAAGTATTATGTTTTCTTGGATAGAACAGCTGTTCAGTTCCTTTTCATATTAGAGCTATTCTGCCGATCTAGGAAAAATTGCTGATCTAGATGAAAAGACATGAACTATGATACATATGGTACGAAAGAAGAGCCGTCTTCCTCCCCTCCCCCCAATAAGAGCCTATATTCTATAGTCGCTGGACGCTGGGTATACCAATCGCCCACTAGAGGAAAATCATTCGATTCTTTTCTAAAGCAAAGTTTGGTGTTTTCGATCGTTAAAACAACATTCGAAGGCGTCGACCTCACAGAGAAACTTTTTGGAAATGTGCCGTCGACGTTGTAGATTGAAACTTGCTTAAACCAACAATATGTCTTCCTAACATGACTTATCTCCGGACTTCTCTAAGCAAGTGATGCCGATACGCAGCTGTAGATTTCTACGCCGTACAGATAACTGGTCTGCTCAAACTACGTCAACACTTCTGCCGACTGACAGACCAACGCACAGGAATAGTTAGATACACGGCAATGATTTTCCACCTACCAGTTCATAAACGAGTTGATAATACTCTTCGTCGAACGAAGTAAAGAAAAAATCGTAAGGCTAGCTAAAAATAAGCTAGTTTATGTGATTGCACAACCATAGGACGCTCACTTAAACAGACACAAAACGCATGCATACGAATTAGTGATATTATCATGGTGTAGAAAGTGCACTTCCTATAGGCACCAAAGTAAATTAAACATATCCGTCTTGCTAAAAGTGCCTACGCAGTGAGAGACACATTGAAATGCACAAATTTCACATAAAATCCGTGAAAAATTGATCTTACAGTGCCGAAGGCGTGCTAAACACACGGCAGCTAAACCGAAAGGATATCGAAACGGAAACCGGCCATTGATTAGCATCGTATCGCGGGAAATTTCAAAATTTTGTCGTGCCTCCAAAAGCTAAGCGCGTTGGTTATTTGTTTATTTTGCTATACCAAAATTATATACAGGTCATGTGTGTCCCAAGCGGCTAGGAAGCTGTTATATAGAAATGTATCGCAAAATAACTAAGGCTCTATAATAAATCTTTACTTCAAATGATATCTTGCATTGGAATCTGTCTGCTCTGTTGGTAAACACGGAGACTCGGATTTCAGCGAAAAATGGAAAATTCAAAGAATGATTCAAATTGAAGAATTATCATTTTGTTGTGAAGAGTAGAGCAAAGCTTTTACCGTGTGAATTTGTATTGTTATTGTATGACAGGTGACCAGATATGATTTGGCATGTATTTCGATTGTGAGCATACCGCCTTCGGACTACTGTTTGTGAAACTGATTGATTGTATTTTCTGCGCTACTTCTCCAAGAGTGCGGTAGATAGCTGTGAAAACAAAACAAGTAAAATATGATTTAGACGGAATTTTTTCCTATTAATTTCACATAGAATCACAATGAGAATTGTCTAGATACTAACAAGGATCTAGTCTTATTCCAATGTGCTATTATGTTGGTATTATGGTGGGTTACACTATGTAAGTAGCATTTGAATCATATAAGCATGAGTGTGATGTAAGCAAGTGAGTAATTACCAAAACACAAATTAATTATTAAATTGTATTGGGTACACTAGTTAACCATTGCTACTAATTATGATAGGTGATTGCCATTTTTTATTGTATTAAAAGAGGAAGAAAATTGAAATTTGATTATTTGTGTTCAAATACGTACATCTTTAAAATTAACTTCTATTGCAACTCATTCAGACTAGCAGACAGAAATAGTTAACGCGATATTATTTTAACGTAAAATTAACTAAAATCCTCGTTACAGGCAATATTGCCCATTGCGGGAGTATAGCCTGTGCCGCGAGATTTCAGTGCTTACAGCAAGTATGATGACTGACCAGGGCTAGCCAAAATACAAGATAGGCATCTAAGGAGATTAAACACTGCATAAATCCGCTACACGATAAGCAGCGTGCTGCTTATCGTGTAGCGGATACGACTGTGATACGACGTGTGCTGGTCGTTATCGCTATTTTCTTTTTGTTTTGACTTTGACGATATGATCAAGTCCATATTTGGGTATCGTATCCTTCTAAAACTAAAGCAAAATGATCTATGATATATCTGCCATTCATGCCAACTATGAGAGTCTGCCTGGAAATAATAGGATTAATAAATGCGGCCATGATAAAGAGCAGTTCAAGAAGACAACGTTTTAACATTTTGCCGTTCCAATCGGATAATTCGTCATTTGAGATTATTTATTGTCCTGACCAAAGTCACCTTATTATTTCGTAGTGTACTGCAATAATTATGGTATCCATCGACAGATGCCGAACGTTATTCTTCTCTGAGAAACGTGCCACAATTCTATCGGTATTGTTGTTGTGGCAACAAAGTGCGTCCTCGTATTCCGGTTTCCTAAAGGTCATGGTCGCCATTGTAAGGTAACAATACGGTGCTTGTAGAAGAATAAACAAGTAGCAAACGCAGCTAGTACGATTACTGACAATCTAACGTCAAGTACGATGCAGTGCTAGCGTTATATGTACTACAATATGAATCTGCCGTAAAGTCCGTATGCATGGCGTTTTGTGTTCGTATAAGAAATCGTCATCATCTTCGTAAAGGACAGCGCAGTGCTTCTGCTCGATACTCGCCACAGTTCTCGAGGATTAGCGCTCATATGAATGCTTGTGGTTTCTGTATACTGATTCAGTAACTGTAGCAAAACACAATTTTAAGGTGAAGCTTTAGAATAAGTAACGTTAACTAGTTGGCAGGCGTACGCTGCCATTACAACATAGTCAGCTTTGTTACTCTGAGGGTGAATATGAGAAATGCGATTGTGGTGCCAATGAGCGGCACTGGGAATAAACGAATACAGATGTAGAATGTACGAATGTAGAGTAGTTGCTCCGTGAGAGCGCTAGTTTATAGTCGATGGGCCGTCACTCTAGTCGTCATATAGGATAGCGAGATAATCAGTTACGATTCTTATTGAACACGTTCAGCTTTAACATTGCTAAAAGGCTATGTGTCTCTGAACCGAGATGTCATCTTCAAATATGATAAATTCATATTTATTTGCTTATATCCTATGAATAAAACCCACAACCTGCCACAAAACTGTAGCTGATGTGGGTGTTCTCTAATGGTCGGTGGCTACAAATGTTAAGTGAATTACCCTGCTAAATATAATGGAAAAGAGCTAATTTTCTGCATTACTAATTTTTTATTGCAAAAAATAGTTAGCGTACAGCCAATAGCTTTATAAAGAATAAAGAGCGGCTAGTTTATTAGTGTCCTCTTAACAGAAGCCCTGCCCGATTTACGGGCGGATATTCGCAACAAGATACTTAGGCACTTTGGGCTCTCGAGGACGTGTAGCAAGCAGGTCAGCATTGCAGTTCTAGTAATCGGACATCATAATGCTAGTTTATTAATTTGAATTTAAATTAGAACATAGCATCAAATTAGTAGGTTGTTTGTTGTTGCATTTCTTGTTTATTAATGAACACTATAGCCTTTGGGTTTATAACTATGTATAGTATGCGTTTATCGCCACAAAGCTGTATGACAGCGTGCATGCAGTGCAATTTTGCGTTTTAGTGGGTATCACACCTTACAGACGGTTTCAAGGAAACCCACGAAGTTCGGCGTACTTCACACAAATAACGTTTGCTTTACGCAAAAGGGGAACATCACACAAGTAGTTGCTTCTATATTTTGCTGGATTTTTCGCAAAATTTCTACGGCATGGATGGTAAACGCCACTATTCTTGTAACCCAAGTTGCTTGCCCGATTGCTATCCAAACAAGCTGTGAATACATATATATAATCAGATACATTTTAGTCAAGTAATAGTTTGCTGCTCATTCGAAGCGTCATGTCCAGTTACACGTTTATCAGGTTTACAATATTATCCGAATTTATTTATAGGTGTTGAGTAAGATAACTTACATTATGACACAAAACGTCGTACTCGATAAATAAAAGAACTAGGTGTTTTCAATTTCACAGAAATTATAAATGTTCTTAAGCCTCTTTACGCGAAACATCCTTTGGAACTTACGCACAATAAATGTATTAAATAAATATTTTTTTTGGTTTTTCTTTTTTTTTTTTCAGTTCTAGTATTGAGTAAATTATATCAAAATTGTTTCACCATTATTTGTAAGTTGGTGTTATTCGTATATATATATATACATATATATGCCCCGAATACTTCGCGGAATGGCGTTTTGGGGTTACGCCCACCTAGTATAAGTGTATATAAGTATTCGTTCTTTCGAATGTAGCTAAGAAGTCGCCATTTTTCCGCTGAGCTACCTAATATCCAGGTTTATTTAAAATTTGCCAAATTAAATAAGCAATTATCATATTCTATGTATACGTTTACTTCGATCTTTATATACTTGTACTTTTTCTATATAGAGTGGTACTTCAGACATGTTAATCCATATTCGATCAATACGACTTTATTTAGTTGTTACCTATGGTCATACTTTTTGGCTTCAATTCAGTTTGCTTTCAACAATTTTTCGTTAATCTTAGAAGATCAAGCAATTGGGTTGAAATTTCAAGGAAATAGCTGATGGGAATCAACATTTGTTTTGTATTTGCGCTGTTAGGCTGACATTAACCACCCCTTATATTCTCCTCTTTGTGATTCTATTCCAACATGAGTATACCTTCAAAGTTAAGATTACAAGAGATATTTTGAAAACAACTGCAATTTTATAATACAAATAAGACACTAATATCACATATTCACAGTGTCTTCGTTCAAATTTCAGGATGTTACCTTCTGGTTGGTTGTCATCAGTGGGGTTATATTGTGTTCATCTAGTGAGTCTCTTACTTTGTCTAAGTGCACTGCCATCCGTCAGTCTGGGTCTCACTCCCGAATGCAAAGAGTATTTGAAGGATGTTGCCCAAAGCAGTTCAGGATTTGAGGTATGCGCATTGCTTTGCGCGCGACCTTTTAGAGTTTGTAGTTCCTGTTTCGATGACTACGCTTTTGCTCATAACATGTTCGTCAATCTTAAAAGCGTGAGTTTATGCTTCTACTTAGGATCGGTCAGAGATTTATGGGAGTTTTTAAAGTTGCATTATTTCACGCATTCTAATTCTTTTTCAGTATAACGATATAATGAATACAATGAGCTTGTATAATTTTATTGATAAGTTTTAGGAGAATAGCAGTTATTTTTTATGTGCCGAATTAAAAAATGTACATTTTCTAGAACTTTATTTATTATTAAGCCGTTCACCTTTCCATAACGGACTTTTCTAACACTTGAGTTTGGTATTAATTAACTTCAGGGTCGTGGACAAGTGGAGAAGAACTGTAGCGAAGACCTTGTTTCGGGAGACCGGGTGTCAATTATAAACCGAGCCTTCACTTATGTCACGGAGACCTGGGAATCAGGGAACTGCGATAGTGAGTTTCTAATTTTTCACATATGTGTGTAAATTTTAATTCCATAGTTGTCAAATACATTTTATTTGAGCACAACGATGGTGAGAAGTCTTCTAAAAGAGTTGGCCCAGAGCCTTTGGGGCTCTGTGTATATATATATGTATATATATATATATATATAAAACCACTTAAATGTTTGCCCTGATCTTTCATAGCTGGCTAGAAAGGGGCGCTTAGCTTGAGAACACCTGAAAACTGTACGTTATAATACGCGAATTTATATAACTTGCCCTGACATGAAAGAACTGTATATCTATCTATTTATAACAATTATTTATTATTTAAAAATTATTTATCGCGGAACTCCTTTCTGGTTTTTTGTGCTTAACAGATTGTTTAGTGGTGTCAAAAAGTGACGACATAGTGCACTTCAAAGTTGCTGAGTTTGCGAAGGAATTCCAGACACGCGCCGAGCAGGTGTTCAAGTGTATTGATTCGCATATTAAAAATGAGAGTCGAATATGTACAGATTGTTTATCGTCATTTAGTAACCTGTCGAATTTTTACCATGGACTCGTAAAAAAGTATGAGGAAAAATTGTGTATGGACATTATCGACATCGTAAGTACTCAGAGATTCGACAGTTAATTAGATGATTTAGTATCCTAACTCATTTCCCTTTTTTGCGTGTGGCCTTTAAGCTACGTTTGACTAGCCTATTTATGTGTGATTTCCTGTAGCGACGTTACGCAACGCCTCCAATGAAATGCGAGAGGAATGATAACATGATGAGCAGAGATTAGAAGCAAAAACCGAAATTTATATAGGTATCATTAGACGTTTTCAATAATATAGTCCAGTTCTTAGAGAATAGTTCGGAGCACTAATAGACGCTCGTAGTTATAAGTATTGCTTTAGGAGTGTTTGATGAGTGATGCTAAGTAGTAATAATAGTAATAATAACGAATTTTACAGATGAACACAACACGGGTGAAATGGTCAGATTACGGCTGCTCGCATGTCTACGGCCTTGAACCCGAAGTCTGCCTGTACGCTTGGGCTATGGTTATTATAACAATTGTATTTTACTTTTTCGCCAGATTTTCGCAAAAGCCAAGAGATGCTGAAATTTTAGAAGGTAGGTTTTAAAATCTCAATGATATAGGTATCCATGTTTTGAAGAAAAATTGCGGGGAAGCTGCCACAAAGATGAATATAATATTGTATGTAGGGTCTCAGATTAAGCTTTTATTTTCATTATATTATTATATTAAGTCCATTTATTAGGGCCCTCATGAAGATTATTTAACTGAGTGCAAACTCGATGATTATTAACGCGGTTGGAATACGAGGCAGCAGTTTATACTGGTAAAACTCTAGATTTCGTCTTACATGAAAATATATGTATTTTTAGGTAAATAATGACTGTTTATAGCTCAGTTAAATAAGTTTCAATTCAATAGCAATGTTAGATGGTTTTTTTGCGGAACTCAGATTCCTACCGCAGTACTTCTGTAAACTCTAAACAAATACTTCGATCATTGTTGTTGTTTCTATCCACTTAGGACGAACTATGCGGGAGCACATATCAAAAATGTCCGTAGATTCAAACTCGTTCCGGGATCAACAGGAGTTAATACCGCACTTACAGCCTCTATTTACTATTTCGTGAGACACACCGTCTTTAATATGTCTCAGCTATTCGTCAGCAACGCTCCTTCATTATTGCTCAATTATTCAATTGCTGCTCGCATTGTCTGCAACTCATTCCAGTGGTAGCTATAACTAAATTACATTCCATCCAGCGTAATTGTATAAAGGAAAATGAAATCGGCGAGTTTCTGGTTTAGCATTGTATCGCTTACCTTTTTCTATACTTACGTTTGTTTAGATTAAAAATAACTAAAATGATTCGTGTTTCGCTATATTCTCTTCTTTATCACTATATTTATACATGGAGACAAAATGCTACCTAAATTTCTGCAAGACTGCATTTCTGCATAAATGCAGTTGCATTTATGAGGTAACAAGGTACGATGTAAATGTCAAGTTGCTTTTAACGGTTATACCAAAATTACGTTGCAGATAGGCAAACCAAAAATTTTCATTGATCAAGTTAATGTCCATCTAATTCTACTACATAAAGCTGTAATGTCGTTCAAGATGACAGATGGAGAACAAGAAGTAGAAAAGAAAAATCTATTAACTGAGAGCGATTGTTTTCTAAAAATATTAGACATCGACTGCGTAAATCTTTATCATTGTATATATATATATATATATAATAGTTGTATAATATTACTATGATTATATTATCTTACTTACCGTTTTTCGTTACTCATATAGTTACGCCTTATAACACTAATGTAACCTCGTTTATTCTCTTTGTGTTGATTCATGAGTAGGCAGTAAAAACAGCAAAAAAAGTTTGAAAGAGTGATTTACCGCACGAGTTTCAATGTTTTTAGAAACTTAGATATGAGATTGCAAAGTGAAAAATACAGTATAAATATAAACCTATAGCTGGGCGCCTTTAACTATCTTAGTTAGTGTTATAGTTGTTACTTATATGTTTCATTTCCAAATAAAATACTGCCATTACTGTTAGCCTCTGTCCACGATATTAATAGATGGTAGACTTTAATGATGAAATTTGTGAAAAATACAAGATGAGTTATTCTCAAACTAGATCAGGCTAAAGTCACAAAATGTATAAGGTCGTTAGGACAGTCGGCTTAATTTTTTGCGCAGATAAAACATAAAGAAAGCTGAGAAAAGCTCACAGAAAAAGCAAAGTTTTCAATATAGCATTGATTTATGCTTGACCAGATCACTCTGTCTTACTTTTCAGTAGCACTAGTCATAACGTGATTAAAAATATTTGCCAAATGTGTGCCTACGGGTTGCATTTTACAATTTCGTACTGTATTTAACCAGAATCTGTTTTCGTAAATGTTACCAGTGGCGCATATTTCGAATATGTACATACGTAGGTAGTTAAACGAAGAAGTTAGAAGCTTTTCAGTCTGTTGCTGGCTGATGGACCTACGCTAGGTAGGTTTGGCGTATAGAGATTTGTACAGAGAGAGACAAGAGAAGTATAGACAGACTAACTGAAGGAGAAATCTACTGTTTGTTGACATATCTATAACCAGGATTTATAGTCAGGTGACTGAAGAATAAATATTATCTAGCACAGATAAATCTAACATAAAATGTGCTTCTTCGATACATAGTGATTGGTTACCTGAAAGCGAGTGAGACACTGCTGCTATTAAATACAATATTTTTTTAATTAGTTCACAACAACAGAATTGAGACTAACTAATCGACGTAGCATACCTTTCTCCTCCAGATGACCTATTCGTTGTTCCCCCAGGTGCCGATTTAACTAAGCGCAGTAAAGAATTAGAAAACTAAATTGAATGAAATGTATAATACAGTCCTTGATCACTTAGTTTGATCTAGAATTATATTTGTGCTCCTACAGTGTAGAACATACCTTAGCAGTCTAAAGAAAAACAAGCGATTGAACTTTGAGCAGACGTTTTTACTAGATGATCTTGAATAAAAGCGTGTATACTTTGCATCGCTTTGTCTCTAGATACTTACAGAAAAAGTTATGAAAACGATAGGAGTTGAACGGTACCTGAGTAACTATCAACACCGAAGCCCACTTATTTTACTTGTTAGCTGTATTTTTCTCGCAAACTCTAATAGAGTGAAAACGAATGTTTATACAGTATCGTTTTGCTCATGTTTACGTCAATTCTTATCCAGCCGGCGTCTCCGAGTGGCGAAGCTTTAGCTTGCTTTCCCTTAATAGAGCTATGTCTGTTGTAGCCTACCTTAAGATGACACTGATAAACTGTAGAGGGAGTCAAAAGATAAAAGGATTATTTCCCCATAACTAGAGAGAGAGACGCGTATGGTGAAACTTGCACAGTAGTCAACAAATCGTCGCGTCGCGATTGATCCCCTTATCTCCCATTCGGTACTTAGTAGCTTAGATGTATCAAAAATCTAAGTTTGAGGTCATATCCGCCAAAATCTGCGATCCAGTCTTTGATGCTCGATACGACCCCTTAAGTCTACGATTTAAACGATGTAAGTACAATCCAATAGGTGTCAACAGACAGTAGGAAACCAAATATAAACTTAGTTTTTCGTAGCTAGGAACAAACCACAAATGCAAATATTTAAGAAAATAAAAAGGCAAAATGAAATATTTCGATCTAGTGATAATAACAGTAAACTTTTCAGTTGGTCTGGTCGGCTAACAGATGAGCAATTATCCCAATTTTAGTATTATGGTGGTGTTAGAGTAGCTTTGCGATTCAACGCAGGTAGAAAGCATACAGACTAAATATCGTTAGCGGCAGGTCATACTGGCAACTAGAAATACGCAGTAATCGTCAGTATAAATGGGATGCCCCTCATGGTGCATTTGCAATACTGCGCGATAAGGATAATAATGAGTATGGCATACAATCAACATATGGCCAAGTTGATACTGTGGGTTATCGTTTTTCTTTGCCTGTGTGCTGAAACTTCGACAATGACATCTGTGCGAAATTCTGTGCCAGATTATTGTTCAGAATTACTTTCAGATATGGCCACCGCTCTCAAAGGTTTCGACTGTTGTGCCTTAAAGAACGCTCGACCCTTTACCGTGTGTGTGAACTGCGCGGCTGTTTATCAGAAGGCATTCGACCTATTTGATCGCTTCGTAAATGTAAATGCTTTTTTACGATTGCATTCTATAGTTACGAGCTGGCTTGCACTAGATGAAAAAAAAACTTATTAGTTTGAGTATTTAATTTTTTTGTGACAAATTGGAGTTGATGATGGCAAAGAGGAGCAACAGAAAATAATGCACCCCAGTCAAATCAAACAAATTTAGTCGATAATAGTAGCCATATTAAATTAGCTTATAGCGCAATGGTGAACTAATTGCTATAATGGATTATACGAAGTGAACTGTATAGTCAATTATAAAATTTTGTGATCCAGCTAATTATTAATCTCGGCCTCATTCTTGTCTATGCGAACAAAATTAAATTCAGGAAATATTCGTATTACGTTTAAGTTCACAACATCCTCCCACCGAGTTGGATATCGTTATTACACCACTGATTCATCCGATAATGCTAAATTTTTGTATTTGTATTGAATATTTATATCACCACCGGTGAGTTTTCCCACGTGACCAAAAAGTGATTTTAATGTGCAGCTTTTTATACAAAACGAGTTGTTTTTGTTTTTATGCCACTACTATAGCCAGTACTATTATACATTAATGAGTAGCAACAACCTGATTCAGTGTAATTTCAGCGAATCAAAACCACATAAACGTTGCCGCATAAAATACTTTTTGAAGTGAGCAATACGGAATGAAGTAGGCTAGAATATGACAATATGAATAATAATAAGAGCGTATTACAGGTAGATATATAATAGAGATGGCAAGAATAAGCGTACAAGAGGCATGTGCAAGGCTTAGCAAGTAATTCCAGTGGATTCGTTCCGACCTGCCAACGGCGAGCCTCGCAATAAGTTACATTTGGAATACAGCTTTAGATTGATTTGTGAAATTGTTTAGACCTGTTGTATCTTTTTCGGGAGATTTCTTCGGGCATTTTTTATTCGTGAGCCTGCACATAGTTTCCTAGTGAATCGATCATTTATAGTTTATTACAGTGTATTCACGTATTTGCATAAATCCAACTAATAGAGTAGCGTATTGATAGATTTATATATCGTCTTCCATAAAACAGATATATCAAATTAGGAGTCATTAGCAATATGCGCGCTTTCCTATTAGAGAGACATCATATACTAATCACCACTTGTCATGTACAGCGAAGAGCAGCTGAGAATAGCACATATGCGTAAGTTAGCTAAAACGTGGTGGTTCATTTGGTTAAGGGTTAATGGGGGTTAATTAGGGCTAATGAGAGACCCCATAAGTCGCACGTCGTTTCACGTAAATCCAGTAAACGCAAATACAAACGAAGGTAATGTTTGTACTCGGAGACTTTAGTATTAAGTTAAAGACTAAGTATTAAGTTAGTTGCCTGCCACGGCTAACGGGCTTCGAAGATCAACTAAAATAAATCTACCCAAAAATATGAAATAGTATAAGTGCTATTCGCATGACACTTTGCGTTTTTTTGCCGCTGTTGGAACATTTACGTTTTTAATTGTTTACACCCTTTGTTGCCTCGCTTGATTAGGGTACAGCGGAGCTGAGTACAAATTGTTCAATGCTCATCGATGGAGGAAAGATATCGCTCGTTACAGAAAGCTTTCAGTACATACAAAAAGTGTGGAACGAAGATGGAGTCTGTGGAGGTAAATATAGAACATTTACAACACAATAATCATCTGACGTGACCTGAATTAATAACAAAAGACCAGTTGAATGTACCTTATCTCAATTTAAACGTTGGATTATATTTTTTCATAATAGTAGTATAAATCACGACATGCGTCGTTTGTGAAGCTTATAACATTTAAATAATCATTTAATTCATCATCAATTCACCATAGATGACCCTTTCCCGGATATCCTTATCTGTTTCATTTTTATAGAATTTAACAAGATCTTCCCAACAATTTTTTTCCTATTGATAAATAAAAATTCAAAGAGTAGTTTTGAGAACGGTCAAATCCCAATACCATCAATATATACAAATGTAAAGAAAAACCGTGCTATCGAAAAAGCTTTTAGTTACCGCATATCGTTGTAAATTGATGGATATAATAAGAATCTGCGCAGAACAAGTTTTTAATGACATGCTGTGATTTGGTTTCATTGTAGGCTGCTACGCTTCGGGAACCGATAATGTTTCATCACAGATTCAAGAGTTCTTTGAAAAGAAAAAAGCCTTACAGGCTTGTGTAGATGCACTTTCACCTTTTGAGAATAACCAAACCTGCGTTCAGTGCAAACCATTGTTTACCAAGTTATCGAACTCCTTCGACAAAGTGCTTCAGTCAGGCACAAGCAAAAGCGTTTGTGTCGATGTACTTGATGCGGTAATATTCATCAGCGTATATTTTATAATTATTATTATGTGTTTTACATGTACTATAGTTTAATGGTAATCTTTCGAATTTACATAATATTACTTTTACGAGAGAGTGTAGAATTTATTCGCAACCTTGTCTATAATAAAACGAGACTGATCTGATAAACGAAGCTTTATCCTATCCTCCATCCCCCCTTTTTGTTATTTATGTTATTGATGTGTTGCTGATAGATGAATGAGACTCGTCGCGAATGGGGCAGTATGTGTTTTTCCTCATCGTATGGAATGACACCAGATGTGTTGATTGCGATGTTCACATCATTAAGCACCACGTTTCTGTTTTACTTAATCGTCCGCCTCTCGCAAAAGCCCAAAGACATTGGACTAGCTAGAGGTAAGATATACATATATATATATATAAAGTAACAGACGAGCTAAATATACACAACTGCGCAAACTTGATTCTGATTCCCTTAGTTAGCAGATAAAGCATGTATGGTCTCCTGAAATCTATTCATAGGGGTGATTGACGCTCATTGCAAATGCCGATTCATTTGAATGCCATCTAAAAATGGGATGTTCTCTTTACTCCTGTTGTTTTCGTCGTTGAACAATTGTTATTAGTGAGCACGTGGCAAAGCATCAAGTTAGAGGCTGACTGCTGCAATACTGACCAAGTGGATGCCAAACAGGCCGCTGGGTGTCATGCCCACCAGGCAAATCCGCACAGACAGGCTGAGCATGACACTGCTATTGTTAATTCCCAGCATTCAAACAACTGTTAGAACAGCGACAAGCTTTGTTTGTATATATATATGTGAGCAGTGTTGTGTAAAACGATATTATTCATAGAATAAAAAAAAAACTCTGAGATAGAAGCAGAAGTTTACTGTAACGAGATTATAATATAATCATTATATACGGACAGTGTATGGGAAGCAGATGCGATTAGGTATTGAAATTATAATTGAGTCAAAGATGACAGTCTGATGTCTATATCACCATCTTTAATTTTTTAATTTCAATCGTTACCAATAAACGTTAACTTGATTTAATAATTATCGAACCGTCTAAGTATTAGTAAGCTACTTAAGTACCACTAAAAGTTGGAACGAATTAACCGCGTTTGTTTGACTTAACACTATATATTGGATATAATAAAACACCAAGAAGAATAAGTCGGCAAGTGCAAAAAATACTGCATTCGAATTTTGAGGATTGTCTTGATTTTTTTGCTCATTACGTAACATGTTTTTAAACATCTAAACATCAACTTTTAACTCGCTTATGTTTGATTTATGTATTGTAAACAAACGATAATGCACTATTAGACTAAATTTACTCAAGCTCATCATAATATGTGTGGAATCTGTCTCGTGTCTTACAAGTAAAGGTAGGTCCCTACTTAATTATATGGGTGCTTCTTCGGCTTTGATTTCAATACGATGATTGGGAGAAGGAGAAATACCATATATAATTTTCAAGTGCAAATTTAGTGATACTCTTTTGATAGTGGGTGTTATTTCTATTAATTCGGTCCCTTCCATTAAATTAAAGCAAGCGTCGCTCTCTCGGAGAATGAAAATTTCACGGCATATAACAGTTATAGACACAGGCATCGAATGATATAATGAGCATAAAACATCAAGGAGGGAACATCACTCTATTTACCAAAGTCTGCTGAGTGTTCTCTTGACCGAAACTCGTACTGAAATCTATTAACGATACTTACTTTTTATATTGAGTCGCACGTAAAGTTTTAGACGAAACTTGTGTACTTTTTGTTTGTAGTAAACTGACTTAAGCTAACCCTCTTTAATTTAAATCATTTTTATATATGCGAAGTAACGTATACCGATAAATCTAACTCTTATTAATGACGTATAATAATGAACAAATTATAAAAACGTTGTCATTTAAATCTCACTACGAAAGCTTGCCTCTTAATTATTATATTAAGTGGGTATGATCAAGCCGTTTTAATCGGTTTTTGGCTATACAGGATATACAATAGATGTATAACTTTCCACCCATCAAAATAGTCAGTAGCCACTTTGCGTAGAGTGTGTCAGGCACGAACTGATATCTAAACAAAAATAGAAACAACTTAAGTACTCCTATTTAGATAATTGAACAGTACAGTTTTAGAATTATAACAGTATGTGTAAATTCCTAACTATAGTAGACTCCATTTACGAAAGAAATTGATAATAGATAATCATTCTCTCTCCGTCTCTATTCCTCTATGACTGGTTATTAGTACTATATGGTATCCATTAGTATTAAATAAGGGTAAGTCCACAAAATATCAGATGACTAAAAGGATAAGGAATAAGACAAAAGGTAAGGAAATAAACGTACTTAATCTATAGAGCTTCAATGTACAGGCTTCATTGTGACATATGTGTCACTTTACCAAAGCCATTGAATAAGGGTACGTCCAAGCCAGCTTCTCTCGCTAAATATACATCAGTTACTTCAGCCTCTCAACATTTTTATTTTGCTTATACATACTTGGACCAAACCATCGCTTCCGTATCGAAACACTAACGAAAAGTCGACGTCATTTGCGTAGTTTTACGCTACGCGGCCCACCGATGATTCATGTGGGCTTAAATTCCTAGTTAGGTAAAATACACAGTAAATAAGAAAGCATTTTTATAATGTTTTACAGTCATTGAAAAAAAATTCATAGTTTTTCATTCGGCCGAAGTATCAGCATCGTGTGAAATTTTCCGAATACATTGGGGTCGTGCTTGCGGCAGCAAAGCCTTTGTGCTTACCAGCAGCCGCACATAAAGTTGCTCTCTCAGTCGATTGCCTTGCTCTCTTGTTTGAACGCACGGGCCAAATCTAGGGGCGCGCTTTTCAGTGCGGCAAATGTCAGGAGGAGCCCTGTTTTTTGGTACAGGTAGCCACCCGGCATCTTACATGTTTCTTTTCTCGTGGTCCCATACGAACAAGGACTCGGCGCATTGATTGTATCACTGTAGCAATTGCACGCCCCTACTTTTCTCTCCGTCTGCAGGCGGTTACTGCGTTTATTGCAAATCATGGTGATGTCTACTGCGGCAACTGCCGCCGTCGTCTCAGCCTCGGCTCATTCGCTGCCGCTTCATCGTCGCTCGTGTCGTCTGCTACACGGCCTTTGCCGCGACGTTGCTGCCGCCACTAGCAAAGACGAGATACAAAGAGGGAAAAAGCGAGAGAGAGAGAGAGAGAGACAACAAGGGCGAGACTAAACGAGATCTTCATCTCGTTGTGTTGGGGCTTCCGCTGCCTTACGAGCCGTGGTCTGTCTCTTTCCCGGACAATTCTTTTCTTTGGAAGTTTCACTCTCTCTTTTTCGGTATTTCTGCAGCCACTAGGTGTGTGCTGTCGTCTTGTGGTGTTGTGTTCTGCGTGGTTTCAGTTTTCACCATCATTTTCGTCAACTGAGCGACCGACCGCTCGCCCGCCCGCCGTTCGCCCATCCCTCCCTCCTTTCGTCGACTGTTTGCGACAATGACAGAACGGCGACTGTGCTGATAGTGGTGCTAGGCGCAGCAGCCACGGCGCTACAATTCGTGTTGTTGAAAGCTGAACCTCGCGTCTATCTAATTCTAGCCGTTACAGTCGGTGCTGCTGGCATCGACGAGAAGCGGAAAGAAACAAAAAGTAGGGCTGAATGCGCCTGCTCACGAGCAAGCTAAACGAGGGAGCTACGAAGAGTCCGACAAATGTGCCTAAGAAGAATTATCGGAGCGAAGACGCTTGAGACATCGAGACGGAGGATTCGCTCGCCAATGGATCGTCGCTAACAGTACAAAGTGGAGGGTCGGAACACCGCCAGGGATAGGCTTCAGCCTGCGCAGAAATTGAGTCAGCGCCTGCTACACCAGCAGCGGCAGCATCATTCGATTGTGCATTCGTGTATACGTTTGTTTGCCTGTCGGCTTAGCGCAGTATTCCGTACGGTTCGATTCAATGACGTTTTCTGGTTTAGAAAGAAAATAGCGCCTGCTCCGAGTTCCATCTCTGTGGCTAATTCGGTGGATACGCTGACAATGTGGGGCTGTAAAAGACGATCACTACGACTATAGGATTTTCGTGTTTGCCTTCTTCCACTCCTGTGTCACTTAGCTGTTATCCTGTTAAAGTAGAGTAGCCGTCGTCGGTGGCGTCCATCACGGCGGAGTACGACGATAGTGCTGCGGTATAACAACCGTTTCAAGCGAGTAGTGAGCGCAATAAAGAACGTTTTTTTTTCTATCTCTTCGAAAGTGTATCTATATCAGTAAATGCGCATGGTGAATGCTGACCATGTAATGGAACAAACCGGATATTTTTGATGTGGCTGTGCTCTACAATATCAACACCGCGAAAATATACATGCCGAAATCAAGCAAAGAGGATAGAACAGGTTAACAGAATAATGGTCTTGTACCAAAACGGAATCGTAGCCATGAGAGTTTCATCGTGTCGTTCTAGATGGCTCAGATGAATTGCAAAGTGGTCTCCGTCTGACGGACGGAGATCCGACATAGAAAAGAGGGCAACAATGTGAACGATACCGAAAATCACGCAATAATGGTGAGTGCTGCGATTGTGTTAAGGTCGAATGCGAACAACGTCATGATCAGAGATTAAATATTAAGGGATCAGGATAGTGAGGATAGAAGCAACGATGGTGAATGAATCGCAAAAGTTTCTGTATGGTGGATAGAATCGTCGTATGTGGGAGCGTACGAACACTTCATCCAGTCGCTAGCCAGACAGCGACGCGTCTGTATTGAATGCACGTGCACGACAAAAACTTGACAGCGGTTTCCTTTTTGTGGTGTGATCATTTCTATAGGTTCCGCGTGCTGCAGTAGTATCCATATTTACTTATGTGGTGGACAGGGAAGACGCGAAACGGTAGTTCATTCTGACCTTGTAAGACGTGATAGATGATATTTCTAATAAAACCCACATCCCAACCGTAAAACTGTAGATGGTGCACATGTGGAGAATCAGTGCTGATTCCCCGCATCACTCGCTGTCCTCGCTTATATGATAGTACTGTAACGTATATGTCTACCACGAAGACATGAATCAGCGATGTTGTTATTGTTGTTCAATGTTTAATAGATTAGTTATCTGTGGAAAAGATTGACAGACAGATAGATAGACAGGCAGGCAGGTACGTGCAGTCAGTCCTGATAATGTTCGCTTCTTCTCGCTCAGAGTTCATTTAGAAGTGAAAAAGGCCTACATCACCATGTATAAGTAAACATATCGATTTACACTGTCATATCGTCTGATCAGTCAATGGAACAGCGCGTCAGCATCATCAGTCAACATACGCGCACTGGCAAAATTACTGCTGTTTTATACTACAACCGGAATAGACAACAACGCAATGAGGTGTGGTGTGGACTAATAGCTGGAAGGGGCGGGACGGCGGAGGAGAAAAGGGGAAAAAAGGAAAGCCAAGAAGGAGACGAAAAATTTTTTATAGCATAACTCCAGCTTTTCTATAAGCGTTCGTTGGTCCGTTTTGTTTCGACCCTCGGTTCTCTGCTTCTTGGCATCAAGCTGTACACGGTAATAGATGGTGGTCGCCGTAAGCGAAATCAGGTGGTATTGGCAATAGCCGTTGGTGCAGCTATGGCCGTCGTCATTCGACAAGCATAGATTCTTCTTCATGTCAAACAAGGCCACATCGGACTGAATGATCTATCTACTGTCATGTCATTGCTAGGGCCGCGGGCAGTGGCATAGTTGTTGTGATCCCAATGTTGCTTCGCAACTCGTATGACACGAGTATAGTACAGGAGATAGTATATAATATATATAAGGGGTCGGCTAGAGTTGACTTGGCAGAAGGGGCCTTCGAAGGTCGCTCGGTAAACAACGCTTTATTAACTGAAAGCAAGCAGACTTGAAGCTAAGAGTTCATTTGTATGCTTAAAAAGCAACGACTGTGTAGGTTCTTTCTTGATGAAGAAACTGAATTTAGGGACTAATATAAATGGATTGAAAAAGAGGGGATAATGAAAAAGGACGAAAATTAAAAAAAAAAATAATGGTGCAGTAAGCGTGTAATCTTTACGTTTACACTGTGTTAGAGCTTAAACAATTGAAGTTGTTAGTATGCTTTAAGCTAAAATCTATTCCCCAAAAGTCCAGGGAAATTATGTTCCAATGACATATTGTCGCCAGTAACGTAGGTTAACAATCGTCGGATTAAAGTTGTTTTTAATGTAATAAATAGTTAATATGAGGAACGCAAGAACATAAAATAAAAAGATATTTTACCGGTGGTAATATCACGAACAGGTGAGTTGTCTCGAGCGCGATTTGTTGCACTCGAATGCTTTTGAATCTTACATAGAGTTCTCTAATCTTCATTGGCATCGGGTATACATCTTGGAAGATGCAATCAATATATTTCATGAGTTCAATTATTAGCAGACATTTCACCTGTATATAACTCAAAGTTTTAAGGTTAATCATTGCCTACAAATAAAAATACGTGAGAAATACGTGTTAATTTTTTGAAAACATGTGAAAACCAAGAGCGAATTGGGCCTATATTTACCTATTTTTTAGAGCACACATTAGCAACATCAGCTAGCTGTTATTGTGCTAGCTTAACTATGTGTGCCTAACCTCTGGTCGTATATCTAACCAAGTTAGGTACTCAAAACATCTTCACGTATGATAAAATATCTCACACAAAGCGAACTCAATGGATTAATAAATGACTTTTGTTAAAGTGTTTGCGGTAAGTGATTGCATATTCAAATGCAAAATGCGCGTCAGGAAACAGAGCGGTAACAACTTCATCAATCGTGAAGTTAGTCCACGTACTAGATGCCATTACTTTTGTTTTTCTGTTATCAAAAGTATGACGTCGTTAGGTTATGTTCTCAGTCGTTAAGTTAGCATCACTGTTGACTGTGATATTAGTCTGTCATCGGACAAGGGCAGGACGAATTTCATCACTTGGTATACCGGTAGTACTGAACTAATTTCTCATCATTGATCACCATTGCCGTACCCTTACGCATCCCTAGCTTTTTCTACAACCTTTCCTTCCACTTGGATTGCGTCCGCCCTGACCTTTTCTCCAGGGCCTGTGCGTGAATTTGTCGTAAACTTTCTTGCTGAAATAGTAATCGCGCCGCCGAGGGTTTGCGCTATTGAGCTACTAATCATCTCAGTGTGCGTTATGCAGCACGAAAAAACAAACCCAAGAAAATAGTGTTTAGGCAACTCAGAAGTTGCATAAAAATAGCTGACTAGTTTATGGTGGGCTATGGAAATAAGGAAGGCTAGCAATAGTGTTTGGCGCAACAGCAGCACCATCATTAACCTTCAAGCTGCCGGAAAAGTTTTGCAATGTCTATGCATATGCAAAGCACGAATAGTCACTCATTTGTATGCCGACAGTAATACGCCACGCGCTGCGTAGGTGTGTCACGCCGTCGGCGAAACATAAAGCTTGTGGAGCTGAAGTTGCTTCTTTAATAGGCATGCGAGACGTGTAAACGTTAGCAAAGAACTGAAGTCAAAGTGATTCATTCTGCTGCAATCATCGCCGGCGCGCTTTTTAAATAATTGTTTTCCATCGCAGGCGGCTAAATAGGGGGAAAGCGAGAGCATGCACTGCCTATATCGTGCACCCGCGCTGAACACCTATGGGTGGCGTGGAAGGCAGTCTTTTTTAGACAACAGATTTATAATTGACATAAGCGTAATACTAGGCAGTTGTTTTATAATTCATTGTTTTGGGGAGGTGTAAAGGCCCCAGAGCTAATTGACTGAGACACGCATAAAAATATGGATTGTAATGGAGATGTAAAAAGTGGAAATGATTTAACTTCGAGAGAGAGAGTGAGTTCAAAACAAATCCATAGCGTAACTGACTTCTTTACATATGAAATGTTATTAATAGCAGAGGGATTATTATCTCATATGTCGTTTATGTTTACCCGTTAGATCAATTCGTACGTGATATTTCATTCTCGGAATCAATGTTGGTGTCTTCATCTTTACAGTTCCTTTAATTCACAGGCTGACTCAACCCAAATGAACGAATCATACTATTCGAAATCTCGCGAAGGACTTTTAGACTGTTATCCGCATTAAACGAGACCCTATCCATATCATCCGTTATTGCAGCCAGAACGTTAATGATTGTTGTTGACTACTATATATAGAAGATATATTGAGTGGTTACGGCTTATGCTGACCTTGAAGGAGTAATAGGTATGATCAGCTTAGTCTCGCAAAATGTATATATAATTATTTGCATATATCAGGTATACGCATATGTTTTACGAGTTGGTCTAGAGGTGGCTCGTAGCACGGATTCCGCGCGAATCTGACTGTTTTCGTCATCGCTCAACCGTCGTGAGAAGCAGCAAATTTACATAACAGCGGTAAAGTCAAAGTATTGGGATTCAGCTGTTAGATGATACGGTGGTACTGATATACTTTTTAGGAGACGATGACGATCGTCATGATGGTGCTGGTAGTTAACTGTACAAACCCTGTTCGTACCAAAGTAAAGATCAGCAGGTTCCAGTCAGTATATTACAGGCTCTAAAGCAAGTACAAAATGAAAGGTAGTGCCTGACACATTTTCGGTTATTTGGCCAGTCACGTTGTGTCTAGGCTCGAAATCGGTCGTAGGTACATTTCTCTTCATGCTGGAAAAAGCCAGCACCTAAATGAACGCTTAGCAGCAATCCTAAACGTGAAACTCGAAACATTTGGATGCTGACAGTCCCTGTGGTGTTGCAGTGGTAACGTGATTGCCTACCGAACATGAAAACGCATGATCCTAGCTTAAAGTCGAAAACGAGCGTAGATGTACTCGGCTCATGTTGGAAAAAGCTAGCCGTCTGAAGAAATGTTTAATTAAAATGGCGGTATTGGAAGTAAAACTTGAAAAGTTTTAATGGCGACTAACGGTGGCACACAACATATGAGATTAAGATGGAACGCCCGAAACCGGCGACGTGCAACGAAGGTTTCATACCGAAATAAGTTGCCTCGTTGCGACCTCGATATACGCAGAGTAACTAACAACCACGTAAAGCAGATTCGTGCTTTACATTCTTTCTACCCTAAATATAGCTAGGTACATGAAGACTGACAGATGCATATATGTGTGGCCATTATATGTATCAATTGGATATATAAAGATGATTGTAACGATATGGTTAGCTAGTAAGCTTCAACGTAATTATTGCTACAGTATATTGTTATCACTTGTCTCTAGTAACTAAGAGGACGTTTCAATCTTATCATACATACGACATTTAAACTGGGACAGATTTTGGCCGGCTGCTAATCATACTATGTAGGAAATGGTACAGTACTTGTGGTACCAGACAAAAGCCAGTTTTTTTTTACAACACAACAACGGCGCATTGTTTTCAGCAAAGATTATATCATCCGATCTTCTGCCTTTGATGAACGTCTTACAAAATGAAAAACCTTGCTCAGGATCAACGGTTTAATTCATTGCCGGTGCGATTTTTGCAAAATTTGAGGAATATGAAAGCCTTCATGATGGAAAGTAGATCCTTTCATAGAGTTCTGATTTAAAGGACTGGAAAAGACCTAGGTGTATAAAGATGACTCCAGAGAGCGTCTTAATAAATGTAGATTTTTGCTATAAATACTGACAGCCGTTTCAAAGAGGAAATTATTAATTATCAAATAGGTGATCCAAATAAGCTCCAACAGTTAGACGTTTTAAAACTTTTTGCGCCTTATTGCATTTATTGAACTTTCTGGCTGTTTTGAGCTCTTCCATTGTTGGGATTTTCGGCCCGTTATAAAGTCAAAATTTAATTCCGTTTTTTACACAGAGCATCGTTGGGCGACACTCTAACCAATTTATATTTGCCAACATCGTTTGATACAGAATTTCTATTAAAAGGTCATTTTAAAATAAAAAAGGAGCAGTTTAAAGGTGATTAATTAGCCAAAAGAAGGCGACGATCTTTAGTCAACCTTACTAGACGCTCATGTCCAAATTAAGACATTGGGTTGTATTTATTAGATAAAATCTAGGTTTATCTAGCTGGAACGGATGCAATACACATGACCTCGCAACACCCCGTTGCTGATATTTCAGAATGACAAGCGGCTTGAGATAGGAAATCGGTAGTAGCTCTATTCTTAAGATAGACTGTACACGAATTCGCTTGTCTGGGCCAGCAAAGTCAAAACGATTAAGATCTTATATTTTTTAGTCGTACTTATAGGAATATACATCTAATGTGCAGTAAAATACGCTGTTCTTTCTAAAATATACAACGGATTGTTGATAAAATCTTTGGCTTATTTTTCATAGTGCACCAACAGATTACATTAGAACTGACGGCAGCCCGACGGTTGAACAGGAAACGTATTTTTATAATAGAGACGCATTCTAAAATACGTACAACCACAATATCAGATAATTCGTCTGTGTTTTTTTGGTTTCTTATATTAATTTTTTTTACCTTGCAGGTGCAGTGAGTGCTGAATGAGTGGTTGCATGTGGTGGTGGCGTTGACGGCGAGGTGTTCGGTGCTTTCCGGAGACCCTTTTCCAGGGATCCGGTCGAAGTCCGACGGGGAAGGATGCGGGTGATTCAACGCTACGTTCTCCTTAGTATCATCCTCATTATAGTCCTTCCACTGGTCTTTCTGCTGCTGTTCAGAGGGAAACCGCCACCAAATCAAGACCGGTCGGGCGTTCGAATCGAGCACATAGCTGATCAACTGACGTCATTCTGGTCGGGGCATCGCTCCAGTAAGGGTGCGACAGAACGTTCCCGCAATACCACACGACCATGGGACAACCATCCGGAACTTTGCCGATTTCACACGTGTTTCGAACTGGACCGCTGTCGGCGGGGATTTCGGGTATACGTGTATCCGCCTGCGGAGGATGGTCAATCAGTGTCGTCCTCCTACCTCAAACTACTCAGCGCCATAAAACGATCACGCTTCTATACAGCCAACCCGGATGAGGCGTGTCTGTTCGTGCCAAACGTTGACACCCTCGATAGGTAAGCGTATTTGCTTTCCGCTTGATGTCTTGATTGTACTTATATATTGTACGCATCTCGTTAATTCGAGTGATGTAGGGGCATGGGGGAGGCTTTGAGAACTTCGAACCAAAGGAGGAATTTTGTAAACAGGAAAAACAGTAGTGCTCACGATGTAGTAGCTGTCCCTTGATACAGGAGACAGTCAGGTTAACGCGTATCTACACACACGGGATAACTAGAAGAGTGTTTAAATAAGACAGATACAGGCATTTCAGATTAAGCGATAAGGCTTTCGTAATCAGAGTCCGAAACTAAACGAGGTTAACAGACCTGTAAATGTTATAAAGAGAAACAGCTTTACTATCACAGGGGGTGTGTTAAGGCAGAGCTGTATAGTATAGAGCTATGTATAATATACAGACCTGCATATTATTCTTATGTCTCGAGAATTTAAAATTTTACAAGTGCATTTCATTAAGTATTATGACTGTGATTCAGTTAGCTGCTCTTAAGTTCTTATTTTTAACTTAAAGACAATTAGTTGAAACGGGGTATGTGGCATCTATTTATATATAATATACTTCTAAATAATAGTGTCATTTAAGATTGAGGTGGAAAACGTGCAAGCTGTCCGTTCAGTCGACACCAAGTACTCCCTTTAATAAACTGTTTCCGATTCTAAGCGGCATTGTGACGGATCAATTCACATCACAATTATTGTTCCATATTGTGTCCATTGATGCCAAACAAGTCATTCTTCATACACTTCGTTTGCACGCAAGTACACAAGGTGATTTACATGTAAATTAATTCTGCTTTTGGCATCTGATGCGTCTGAGGTCTTTGCGTCTGATGTTGCTTCTAAATGACTTATTCATTTTTAGTTATTTAGAGGAAAACACCCTGTTGACTTGAAGCGACCTTGTGAGCGCCGACAATCCTATTATTGATTTAACGTTCGGGTAACAATTTGAATTCGACGTCGGATCCATCATTGTTACCGAATGTTTTCCATCGGACAATCTAAGAAAGTCGACACATTAGTGGCATAAACTCCAAAGGTGGGTTAAAGGGCAACGTCAGTGGCGCACAATGTGTGGCCACCTCAAGGCCAACCATTACTGAAATATGAGATGGCCACGTTGTGTTATAGAACGCAGATTGGACGGTGATCGGCGATGTTTGTGACGTTTGTTATTATTGTTAGAGCACCAACAAAACGCGAAACAACCGTCCAAATTCGCGGTCAGTACTTTTATTCTGACTACTTCGTTGGCCTAGCTCTAGCGGCATGCGATTGGTTACCTTTTTTTTCTATTTATGTATTACTATAATGTGAATATTTTTTGACCTAAGCCGTATACCCGCTTTACCAGAGATATTCTTTAGTTCGGTTAAGTTAATAATATACGTTCCATGCTTGGGTCTCATGTTGTGCTGCGTTAACGTCAATATTATTCATATTATTATGATTTCTATTAAAACTTCAGTAAAAGGTTCTATACCCGAAAGAATAGCAACAAATGCATTGTGCCGAAATGTCCGTGACAGTGTGTCATGCAATATATCTCTGTCTAGTCACACATGAAATTTCGTATTGGGTTTTTTGCAAGAATTTAATTATTCAGATAGATATACGACCAAGTCGTATTCGAAAATGTGTGCAAAAGGAGCATCTACTAAAATAGTCAAGCGCTATCCAACGGAGATAATCTACAGATTATGTCACGATAATCCACAGAATTGTTCCGATATGCTAGGTGGTGAAATATTAATGTATCATTAAACCCCTTTGTGCCCCATTAAGCAATCACTCAAATCTCTCCTGCAAACATCGGCACGCGTCAGTGTGCCATACGCTGTCATAGAATCGTTATATATCAAAAGTACTGAATAGTGATTGACATCAGTGTATTATAGGGTTGGGTTTTTGCGAAATTGAGTATCGCTACTATTCGAAAAAGCATTGGCCACATACTGCTCAGATGAACTAGCTAATCTTTATGGCTAATGAATGGCTCAATTAAAGAAATGCCTTTTGCCCTATCAATTGTTTTTGCTGCTGCTCAGGGATATTTTGTCGGATGACTATGTACGCAGTGCTCAGGCAGCTTTGTGGAATCTTCCATATTGGAACGAAGGACGGAATCATCTCATCTTTAACCTGTTTTCCGGATCTTGGCCGGACTACTCGCAAGACCTAAACTTTGATGCAGGGCACGCACTACTTGCGAAGAGCTCAGCCCCTGGACATACTTTTCGGCCTGGGTAAGAACTACAACATAGATCTTTCACCTTGTTCTAAAGGGAAATCAATTCTGCTGCACAGACCGTTTACAATATTGTTTGCCCGTGAATTACTTGTTGATTGAACCGTATGTACTTTGTGCCATGTAACCTACTCTAGAAGATGTCCTTTAAGCGTTTCTTTTTCTATACATTGGAGGCGAGGCAATTTGTGTACGCCACCATAATAGATTATCGATAATTATCGGACTGCCCGTGTGCAGTTGTCTTCGTAATCTGGTCGTTATCGTTAGAATGTTATCGTTATAGAATGCTGATTTTTCCCTTTACCCTGTGTCTACCCTGTGCGTAGATGCCTTCTCAGATAGTGCCTGAACAAGCGAGTCGTGTAGGTCTCTTAGCGCAAATAGTCCTTAATGGTGGAGTTGCACAATATCATTGCACAAGCACAGGCGACTTATTTAACTTCGGTCGAGGTGATTTCGTACAAGTATGGAACACAACTTTTGGTATTTGGCGTGCGAAACGTACAGTTGTTGGTTCTCGTGGTTTGTCACAATAATCTTTATCTAAAGTGTATTTTAAAGCCCAATTCTAATTAAGGATATAGCCAGCGCTCAGCAGTGATAATAATCGGTGGTTCGTTGTTTACGGCTAGTCATTATACAATGCAAATTGTAAAAATATTACAAGTAATTACATTTACTGGTTAAACATACTTTTCATACTCTGTGCTACGACAGGTATGACATCTCAATCCCGCTGTTTTCACGGTCACATCCTGATCTTGGGGGCCAACCAGGGTTCTACTCGAGCGAGAGTAGGACTCTAACCCCTTTACGGAAAAGCTACTTGTTGACCTTTAAAGGGAAAAGGTTGGTGTGTTAGCGTCACCGTCACATCATTGAACCGGTCTGAACTGATTCCGAAGCCCAATCACATGTACACTCATAGTTCGAACAGCTTGTGCGTAATAACTTGCGCTAAAATTTATAATATTATAACCATTTTTTTTTATTGTAGATTTATATCGGTTGCCTTGATCCTTTACTGCATAGCATTTATACAATATATTCGTTAATTATTAGTATTCTAGTGTCTGATGATTGAATCGTATTTTGAGAAAAATGTGTTCCAACCGCCATCGTGGAGGGCTATTTGAAATGTAAGGCGGTTTCTTATTAATGCGCAAGTACAGCCTTAGATTTACATTTGTTCATCGAGTGAGACGAAGACAACTGTTGCTGTTGTTGTAACCAACGGGTTTTGATTGACATGAATTTTAATATATGCCTCTGTCTATAATAGGTACCTGTATGGGATTGGCTCAGAAATTCGTAACTCATTATTTCATCTAAATATCGCCAAAGACGTCTTGTTACTGACAACATGCAAGCACGGAAAGCAGTGGAAGCTCAAGAAAGATGATAGGTAAGTCAGCCAAATTAGTTCTTCTTCATAGACACGTTTCTCCCGTCTATAAACGCTGGCTAGGAAATTAAAACGTTCATACATATGTACATCATTACGTAATATAGATAAATGCAATGACGAACACAGGTCCCAAGTTCCACGAGAAGGTTGTTTTTGATTGTTTGCTCCAGCATTTCGACGCTTTTTCGCTCTTTAGCAGATAATAGCACACTATTTCATTAAATGCGACTGCTGACATGGTCGAGACCTTAACCGTGGCACATTATTACTTGATAAATGCTTATGTTCTGGTGTGTGTTGCTCCTAAATTTGTTGTTCGTATAAGCAGATGTGACAGCGATAACGCTGACTACGACAAGCATGACTTTATGGTCCTCATGCAAAATTCAACCTTTTGTTTGGTGCCAAGAGGGAGGCGCCTGGGCTCGTTCCGCTTCCTTGAATCTCTCCAGGCCGGATGCATACCTATCGTCCTGTCGAACGACTGGCGTCTACCCTTCGACGAGGTTATAGACTGGAGCTCAGCTACTATTCGGTGTGTGTGAGTGGCAAGTGGAAGCCAGTACAAATGACAACTACTACCATTTGGATAGTAGTTGTCATTTATTGTTTACTGGAACCCCAACAACTAGATCTTATTGCACTTATCATATGATATTTTTAATTCAATGAATCTGCTTATATTACCGCCCACAGTTACGGCAGGTGATAAGTAGAGCTTGTGGAGATGAATAAATTCAATATAGTGAGCAAAGGTATATACATACGCTCATTTGGTTTTCATTTGCAGATGGGATGAGCGGCTGCTGTTTCAGCTGCCTCATTTTTTGCGAACGTCTGGATTGACGCCGTCATCACCGCGTGTCGTCAAGCTTCGTCAACAAGCACAGGTGTTGTGGCGGAGTTACTTTAACTCGATTGACAAAATCGTTCATACGACACTTCAAATTATCGCTGACCGCGTTGAATCTGAGCGAGCTAAGTCGCTAACAAGTTGGAATACCTTCCCAGGAGCATTGTATAGTGTACAGAGCGAGCTGCCACAAAGGCGATGGAATCTACCATGGAACAACCAGTGCTGGGGCCAGCGGCCCTGCGACAATGCGCAGACGTCAGGCGGCACCTCTCAACGACAGCTAGGGGCGATGACGAAATTTACTGCGGTTATCTACACATCGCTTCCGTACACCAGACACAGCTTTCCACAAACACAATTGTACCGTTTGTTGAAGAACGTACTAAAATCGAAACATTGCGAGCGCGTACTACTCCTATTGAACATGGAGAACTACCCCAGAGCAAGGGAACATTCCGCAAACAATAGCGGCGCCATTAATGGCCGTTTGGAGCAGCGGTTAGTAGATTCGGAGCTACTCTTGAATGCAAAACTGCCTGCACCGGTAGTCCCAATTCGTGTAACAAAGATCTCCGAACGCTTTCGGCCGTTCGAGCAAATCTCGACGGACGCCGTACTATCACTGGACGAAGACGTGACGCTAACAACGGAAGAAATCGACTTCGCTTTCTTTGTATGGAAACAGTTTCCACAGCAGATTGTTGGATATCCTGCCCGTTCCTACTATTGGGATGAACAGCGCGCTCGATGGAGCTATAGCTCAAAATGGTCCAACGAATACTCGATGGTACTGACGAGTGCAGCTTTCTACCATTCATACTATAACGCCCTATTCTCATCAGTTCTCAGTCCACGTCTCGTTGACTTCGTCGATCAGACGCAGAACTGCGAAGATATCTTGATGAATTTCCTCGTAGCAGACGTCACGGCCTTTCCACCTGTTAAGGTTACTCAGAGAAAACAGTACCGTGACACCAGCAACGCCGGCGTTGGGGCTGTTGGCACAGTTGGCTCACTTGGCCGAGAAACTGCTGGAAAGTTCCCCTCAGCCTGGAACGATCCGGATCATTTCCGTCAACGGGGCGAATGTGTTGCGCGATTCGCTGCCGAATTCGGAAGGGTTCCACTTGCGCACTCGGTAGCGCGCTTTGACCCCGTCCTATTCAAGGATCCAGTGTCCAATTTACGAAAACGGTTCAAGGTTATCGACCGGATAGGCTCGTCTGGTGGCTAAAACACGAAAGAGGCTTTGCGAGGCATGTGATCGAGATGGATTTTTCGTGCATACAGCAGTTATTTTAAAAGTGACAAATGTAACAGACACCTGCAATTTAATGGAGATTAGCACGAAATTGCGAAAAAGATACCAGAACGAATAGATAAAAGTCATTCTAATTATTTCGGCAAGATCATAAGGGCTATCTCTAAAATTTGATACATCACTGAAATATAACTAGAATCCCATGTAATATTGGACGGTGCACTCAAACGCAGAGCTTTATCTTCTACTACAAATGCGTTCTTAATTCATCACTGCTGTATTTTTAACGCTCTATTTTCTTGTACCAAAGCTGAAAAATGTAAGTTTTAGGAACGAAATGCACAGTAAGCAACTTAATTTATGTAGACAGGAATCGAGAAGAAAAACGTAATGGCTTTTTAGAAGATTCACTCTAAATAATATTCATATGTTAGTACGTTGCCAGTTTGTGTATCGAACAAAGATCTACAGAAGAAGGCCAAAATAATAACAACAACAACTTCGGTACCAAACGTTATCAGGATGGGTGTTAGAAAGCAGGAAATTAATAACAACATGATTGAACCATCGAAAGCCACGAAAGTCTAATTTTGTTACTTTGTTCATATCATATACTTGAGATACGACTGAAGAATCAAATGCGTAGCAGATAGGAAAGAAAATGGAGGAGACTAGAAGCGGTAAAAAATAATAATGGGGCAGAGTTCACCCTGTGATTATTGTACGAATGGTTTGAACCCCAAATGGGTTTGATGTTTTCTTTTAAGAGGAGGAAAAGGACTACGAACGAAGATTTATTTTTATTGCCTATTTCTGTGGGATGAGAGTGCCGACTTTGTGAGCCCCTTTTTTTTGTAACATATCATTTTTGACTGAGACAGGAACGATTTAAATCGAATGAAAGGTGGATGACTGTTACAGTAGGTGCGAAATAAATGAGAAGAATAACGCCATGCCGAACTTATGTGGAAGAATGCGAGGGCCTCATGACCTGTATATAAGTGCACTGTACAAAGAAATCTAATGGCGCCTATTGACAACCGCAAAGAAGCGTGATGAAGGTATGGAATACAATTTAAGACTAGGTAAGATAAAAAGAAAGACTTAATTAGAGAAAGAAAGAAAATGAATTCAGGTAACGGATAGCTGCTTTGAGACGGAAGAAAAGATGTCGTACCGATATATTGCCATTCAGTAACGTGGAATGTTGAGGACACGTCTTGTTTTCCTGTAGAGAGGACTACTTTAACGTACTTGATCGACGAATTCATTACACTAAAGGGGCTATTTTTAAGCGAGTTGCTGTACATAGTCCGGAACAATGACAGACACCTGCTACCGATTCCGCTCAGGGCGATGTTCTGAAGAGTCCCGGCGTACCTACACCCAAGTCTTTCAGGCTTCACCCTTATCGGCAGACTTTGCGTATATAACAGCAGAGCTACGAACTATAGCAATTATCCGAGTGAGAGCCATTCAATATGTAAACGATCCTTCCATCAAAGACGGCTTGACGTGATACGGTCAAATGGGTCAAGAAACTACAGACGGTACGCTCATAATAGAAACTAAATAAAATTACTGCGAAATGTCGCTTCTGCGTTTTGGATTTGTGAACTGTGGTGAAATGGTAGCCAATTTCTGAGATGAGTTTTTGACCACCGCACACAGCGATCGACTTTTGTGAAGCTTAATAACGCGACATAAAGCTAGCTCTTTAGGCTACATATTTTGCGACAAACACAGAGGCTCGACTGCTGATTGTCGATGCGAATAAAAAAGTCCCATCGGCGTCAAGTAGCAATAACGTTGAAGGGGAAAAAAGTAAGCCCCAATTACATGGACCTGATGATGATATCAAGACGTATAGGGGGCGTCTCGTAGAACTGCTTCAAAGCCAAACATTATTGCCACATATTGGTCTCAGCCTCCGCCTAATTGCGTCATGAGATATATTTGAAAAGCTCCTGCGGGCGAAAACGGCACACGGCTGTGAAGAGAGTTAATCTTGTCCTAGTTATCACCTTAAGCAAATGTCTGCCGATTTGTTCAGACCCAAACAATTCTGTCTATTGGCGGACAGAGAGGGGTGTTGCCCGGGGGAAGAGGCGTGGCCAATACTATGATGAATGAATAAAATAAAACAGCATATTTATTCTCACACTCTGATGAACTCGAACAACAATGGCTACCCCTGCATGAGGCGGTCACAGCCTCTTCTCCGCCAAAAATTCAATGGCTAATAATATTATTAATTATCGTTATTATTACTAGAAGTACTCATCACCAAACATAAACCGTACTGGAGAAAAGTAAACGTCATTTTCACAACCTGTCAGATGACAAAATCAAGAAAACGAATGCATTCTTTACGCATTGCTCATTCAAAGGAGCGGCGGTCAAAGACAAATTCGAGCACGTTTCTCGACTTTAAACTTTCACATGGGTGGAAAACATCAATTAAGAAAATAATGATGACAATGGCAACAGTTATATTTATAAATAATAACAAAACAAAGTAATTTAGAAGGAAGGAGTTGAGATTGCCGCTACTGTACGACTGCAAATAACGCTCCACAGTTATCATACACTGACGATTTACGCTAATATAGACATATTTAAATGTAAAAAAAAATATATATACATATATTATAAATACGATATGGTCACAATAATGCTCTTTCATTCATAGTAGATTTCATCCTCCATAATAAATACACAGCCATAGCCGTAGAAAAATAACGCCCACGAACTTAAACACACGTATACATACACGAACAAAAATGTACACAAGTAAAAATCCGCACTAATTTTTGAAAGTTATAACCGATTCTTTTTGCCGTCGGTTGGGAGCAGTATTCATAAAGAAAAATCGGATCGATAGCGATCCGCAACGCAGAGTCAAAACAGATCTTGTGGCGATCGAAGTCCAAAATATCCTCCTAAATCAAAGGAACAGATACACATAAAACTGAGTGAACGTGATAAAAGAAGGAGGAACAAATGCGAGACGGAAAATGCATTGGGGGAGCATTGGCGTTTTGCTTGTTTGATTTTATTACATGTATATCGCTGGCAGTTATTGCTGGCTTAGAAAAAAAGAGATTACTTCTCTCTCATGAACTATGCCGTGACCAACAGTAAGGATTCGCAGCGCACATAAGTGCAGAGATGCACTGCTTTAAGGGTGAACGCGGTCGAGCGGACAGGATTCAATTATTTATAGTATAAGCGTTATTTTTTCTTTTATTTCTTAGGCTTCGACTTTTCCAGCAAATGGCGGTCATAATATCAATAATTCGAACTGTCCGTAAACTTCGGAGTATTTTTTCTGGTTAGAGAAAAATTATGTCTTCGTCAAATGAGTGAAAGAAAGGCCTTCTGTATCAACATTCTGTAGCAAATTCATGATAGAATACCACTTTGATTTTACCGTGTTGATCACATTTGTGCGGTTAGCGGTTAAGTGATAGTGGTTCTCATATATTACTTCAGTTTTCTAGTTATTTTGTTTCTGACAGCCTTTTCCGTTTTCTCACTGGCGTCGTCATCGTTCTGTCAGGTTCACAAAATTTAACATTATAGTGGTAAAAAAACAGCATTTGGCTGCCAAGGCAAATCCAAGTAGATGAGGTGTATGTAGCGCACAGAGTTGCTGGTACTACTCAAAAATGGCTCGCTATGTCCAAAAGTGACTTCTCCAACCGAAAACTCTGGTATTTTCAAGTTCAGCAAGATCTTGAGCCACTTTTTCAAAAGTCCGTTTTTTAAAACGAGGATAATTATTAGGTGATTCCAATTCTCTCACCTGTAGCCTTTATCCTACGCAGAACGAAATTCTCGGATCGCTTCTGCAGCTTTTGAGATACGCGAAGAATCTGTAACTTCACTATTTTTTCGTCCGACATACTCGTCTATGAGTAGAAACCCGAAAAAAAACTTCGTGATCAAGAGAGAACGATGACAACTGGCCTATGTGAGTTCTAGTTGTAGATAGAAAACTTAGAAACAAGGCTATACAGAGAACCCGCCATCGCTCTCTTATGTAAAAAATCATAGTGGAGTTAATGCTATTATATAATACGCTTTGGATGCTTGTTTATTTTTTTTTGCCTTTATTTATGAAAAACGTGCTGGCACGATATTCTTTGGCTGATTATTATATCACAAATATAAGCACTGTATTTTCGATGTATCTTTTGTGTGCAATTAACAAAACTGCTGTCAGTTTTCTTTTCTAAGTGATGTAGACATTTTGCTCAGTACAGATACTCTATCGTTATGTATGATAAGATATTTTTATAGAATATGGCTTTTTTAATGAGCGCATGACAACGAAGAAATCCTGTAACTAAAGCGGCAAGAACTTGACGTGGCTATACCTTTTTCATTGTTATATATTTGAATCATATACTTGTATTAAAGGCACATAAAGCCTTGGTCAGACGATTTCGTTCGAACCCGCGATAACGTGGCGCCGGTTACTATGGATTCTGACGATGACGACGATACTTGACGTCGTCACGCATTTTCCAGTCGATGACGATCTCAATTTTTTCGGACATAAGGATTTCAGAGGATAAAGCCTGTTTCGTTCGTCAGAAAAATGAGAATAAATAAATAGACAAAGCAAGAGTAGGATGACAAATCGAATGAGAAAATAAATAACGCAAGATATAACCAAAACTCAAAATAAAAATGATATTCACAATCAATATTTGTGTTTACTGCGGCACCGATAAGTGATGAATAGACGTTGCACTTGAAAATTGTGCGAAAAAAAAAACAAGGAAATTATGCTAGCGTATCGAGTTTACGTTCGGTCAGATCATTGAAAAATTATGTAGCTGTACTCCAACCTTCTGCTGTGCTGGAACGTGATTTTTTTCTTGGCTGCGTCGAGCCTTTTCTCATAAACATAGGCGAACCGCATCGTTTCAGGTGATGACAGATACCTACACTGGCCTTCATACTGGAAAAAGAACGAGATGTCCACGCCTATTATTTCGTGCTCAGTCCTTACAGGGCTAAATCATATCGATAGAAAACACAGTGTGACAAAACAAGCAATATCCTTAACAAGGTAGACATTTGTTACCGCTAACTAATATTATAGACAACAAAACAAAAAATACTCACCTAAACTAAAATGAAGCCATGTTTGACACGCATGTTGAAAACATACACAACTTCAGCCAAATCGACTATACTTCTGGGATTATAGAATAATCCCCAATACCAGTGTTCTAGGTCTGCCTAATATGAATGTCCTCCTAATACTCGCTATTTCTAATCCTGAGCGGATTAGAAATCATACCACCAGTTTACTTTGGATAAACAAGTGTTCGAATTGAACGATGGCAACAATTTTTTATGACTCAGCCGGGCTTGCGCGCGTTGAGATTAGATGACAACATAAATCAAATGGATGATTCCCTTTAATGCAAGCACTGAATTGCTGAGCTGCCGAAACGTTTAGCATCAATATATCATCCAGTTTTATGTCAGCGGGCACGACATTATATCGGCTTACATAGACAGTCCATTTGTCTAATCTCAACAAGTATAAACCAGACTGAGTCACAAACAATTGCTCTCATGATTCAATTAGATTAGGAAAACTCAGAATTTAGACACTTGAAGCATTTTAAACAAACTGTCTAATCCGGTTAGGACTATAAATAGCCAGTATTAAATAGGATATATTAGGGAAAAAGAATGTATGCCGTTATAACTATTTGGCTAAAGTCAACATGCGGAACAGTACGTATGACATTATTTCTTCTAAGATCCTAATTATCTTAAAGCAGTTTACCGAAGGCAGTTATTGGGTCTCAGTTGATTCGCTCTGTTGTCACCTCTGAATTATTGTTACGAAATTTGAAGCATTGTTACAACCCAAAGAAATTGATTGAATATGTCAATATAAAATGATAATAAAAAAAAAAAGAGCGTGATCCCGATAATGCTATTTGTGACAATCCATCGGCATAAAGCATAAGTAAATGTATCAATCCATCGTTCTGGGAGAATGTAATATAGGCGAGTGGAAAGGTAACGGGAAATCGTTGAAACCGCTTTTAGCATTCATGGCCTGCCTCTTGGGCGATATTGCTAATTCATATTAACCACTGATGAAACCAAAAGCTTAATTTTTGGATTAATTTTCAGTGTAAAACCCTAGAGATCACTGAATCTTAGATACTGGGATACTGAAGAGGCCAATTTGCTTGTCGTTTGAACTTTTCGTTCTAAATTCAGGTAACTTCCAGAAAAAGTAAAAGAGATGTTATTTTCTGCTAAGTTTGCATTCTCCAGCAGTAGAATCTGCGTTATGTGAGTTCCCAAAGAGACAAACACAATACGTTTCAGTCATGTTAAATACCAGTTCACACACCTAATGAAAAAAATACATTATCGATAACGTTTTAACAAAACTGTTTTTCTCTTTCAATTCAAAATTGCCCGCTCCACTTTTTTCTCGACCAATCTACTGCGGGCAACCATGGCCGCCTGCTCTCTAGCCCGCGCGCGCGCGCTTCTTTAACTCGAACGGCGCCGAATGGAAAACACCAGCAGCAGAAGGTGAGGGCCTTTCGGAGAGGGCAAACGGCCGCTCGGGCCGCAGGCGCTGTCTGGCTGGGTCGTCCAGTGGTCGTCGTCGTCAGTGCCTAGATCGGCTGCTACGGACGTCGAGACGGCGAATACGAGCAAACAGAACACCGATACAATCAGTCAACGAGACATAGGTAGATTGAGTCAACGGCCACTGTGGCGGCGGCAGCAGCAGCAGCAGTTAAGCAAAACTTCGCGGGGTTAAGCATCACAGGTAAAGCAGGGGTTGCGACGGCAGCCAACCCGGGTTCCTCCTGCTGTTATTGCAGTAAAAGAGGTGGACAAGTGGATGTACCAACGGTAGCGACCGTTGTTGGGCTCCGGCTTGGTGCCGGCAGCGGTGCCAGTTGCTTGTTGTGTGTGTTTCTCTGTATTCAGAGTTGTGATCGTAGAGAAGTGTTACAAAAAAGCTAGCCGTAGCATACGTAGCGTAACACGGACGAAAAAAGCTGAACTTTTGCGTTCTCTCGCTGTAGGGCGGTGTATGTGTGTGTATACGTGCGATTGGCAACTCGCTCTGCGCTTCTTGCTCGTGCTACTGAGTGCTATAATCGTGTCATATTGGAGGAGAGTCTGCGTTTGAGAGAAATAAGAAAGTCTACTACTCACTATTGCTCATCAGCAAAACACTGAACGAACGAATAAAGCAGGCAGTCAAGTGGGCTTCCGACATCAATTGATATTCGGTTAGTCTATTGTGCTGCTGCTGCTGCTGCTGCTGCTGTGGATCGTCTGTTCCGCTCGCTGTTGTGGTTTTAAGGAACAGAGAGACGAACATTCGACATTTGTTGAACAAAGACGGCCGCACCGAGGAGGCAATAGCAGTGCGTTGTTGCTGATAAAAAAACAAGTTTCGGGTCAGTCGGTCTCTTCTGCGGCCCAATTGTGACATGTGTGGGGTGTTTGCAAATCAATAAGTAAATTTTATTCGCTCGTATCGGAATATATATCTATAGTGACATTTGTGCTTTTAAAAAACCATATGTAAAAAGTGAACCGTTTTGTACGCCCGATTAGCAGATCGAGTAACGAACATTTTTTTCGCACGCCAACGCATATCATTAGGTATTATTCGCCAATGATTTTATGTCCAGTGCATCGATAAGTGGACCCTGCTATTGCATCGTAGAAGATCGCCGGCGGGGTTGAGACAGTACTGTCTGAACAGGTGAGTGTAGAAGAATCTGAATGATGTATTATAGCGACAAGCCGATGATGAGTAGCAGCAATGGCCATTCAGAAGTAAATTATGTGAAACGAACACCCCTTCCTTGTGTGTCTGTTGCAACAGACAAAGTATTTCTACTGTTTGCTCTGCGACCTTTGCGGCGTCTTCTGAAACTCACCTCTTCTAGTTGGTAGTATGTAATCGATGAGCAGCTGTGCATGCACAATCCTGCACGATCAATAGTCAACGGCCAACAGTCCTCACTTCATCTGCACGTCACTATGGTGACACCCTTCGACCACGACGGCGAAAAACAACGATGGTTCGATGAAGCAGTAGAAGAAGAGATTACGCCAGGGTCACTGTTTTCACCGACCCGATGGGCATCGGTCATATACAATTGTCATAGCAGTTTCCCAGGTGTTCGATATGTATTGTTCATTTCAATATGATCGGTATATCAAATCCGCACAAACGTTGTTGTTGTTGGTGTTGTGGTCGTGGTCGACTTCAGGGGTGTCATTTACTGGTCACAGCCTGGCACTGAAATATTGTTGCTAGTAATAATGGTCAGATAACAAAATGACTGCCAGCGGTGCTAAGCTGGATGGTAATGGTAAGCACCCTAAGTCCTTTAGGGCCGCGTCGCCTCGCCAGCTCCTGTGCCGGGCGCCGACGTTATCGTAGCACGTTGCCACCGATTCTTGTCGAATGGCCAAATGGCGTAGTCACTAGAAGCAGAGTAACCAGCAGTGACCCTTTATAAAATTGTTGCATCCGTAGCAACAGTACAATAGTTGCCTCACGAAGGTCTTCTATGGCCTACAGCAAGAGCCAGATGCACATCTTAGTATAGATGCATCTCTTCAAGGCGATAAGTGTTTCTAATCCACTGTGACTTGGTGTGCGACCAACGTGCAGTAAGAAAGTCCAGCTACATTTGAGTTCTGAAACAGAATCGAACTCAAATGCGCAGCAGGTAATGTGTCGATGATTAATCTATGTTTTTATCTAGAGATTGCTTTGAAAATAAGCGTGAGTAAGAAGCTGAAAATCAACTAGACGTCTCGTCGGTAGTAGCAGATACTCATTAGCCTTGTTAATCCATCGACACTAACCTTGTTTGGTGTGCCCGTTAAGTCTAATTGCCAACCAAGATGCCGTCGAAAAAAACACGGAGCTGAACCTTGCCCGAATAGCTGGGGCGTAGAAAGCTTTCTTATCGCTTTGTGTAGCTTGCAAATAGTAGAATAGAATGCAGAATAGATGCACAAATACCTCTAAGGGTAACTTTGACTACGTATGTCAAAGCTGAGTTTGATATTAAGCAGAAGCACAGAATCGGAAAGCAAGTGTCACAGTGAACTGGTACATGACAGTTTTGAAATCTTCTGGCTAACTTGGATGCATCTATATATTCTTCACGTTTGTGGGAGGCACAAAAATCCAGGACACCAGGGTTATTTGTAAAATCAAATAGAATCCAACATCAATTTTCTTTGCATGTAAATGTGACATAAATTATCATACTTAACTATGTTTTCAGGGTTTTGTAAGAACTGCGAAAACAGCCGGGTGCTAATGTATTAGTTTATTATGTTAACTTGGGCCTTTAAAGATGCCTGATTCTAATGAAATATGAAAAGATACTAATGGTGAATACTATCAACGAATAAAATAAAAACGATAAACAGCATTTTTTATCTTTGATCATTGGTTGTTTTTAGAAGAGGGCTTTTTTCCTCGATGGTTACGGCGCGCAAGAAAGGTACAATGAAATGCTTTCTTTTCGACAACAGTCGTAAACGGAAGTTACAACTAGATACGTGGTAGACAGGCAGATATCTTTTAAATTGGCAGGGTGGATGATGATCACACGTAGAGAGTACATGTACGCATTACCCAATTTCACTCTAAAGTGAGGCAGAAAATTAAAGCAAAAGTCATGAGTCTTTCCTGAGAAGTTCGAAGATGTGAGATTGCCCGCATGCAGAATCGCTTGTAAATAGGTGCTGGCGAAAGGTAGTTGGCTGTGTACTTTATATATATATATATATATATATATATATACACGAATGCGGTCAAAGAATCTAAGGCTTGTGAAACAGGAGCTGTAGATTGTAAACGAAGTCGAAGTTTTTTCGGCACTTTGAAAATACGCTACTGATAAGGCATAACCGTCGTTAAATTGTCCAAGCATTATACCCGACGTCTTGAGTATCGTTGTTTCAACATTTCTGATGCGTCTAAAACTGATTTAAGCGTAGTATTCCACGCCTTCTGCCTACAGGAACTTGCACAGGTAGTCGCAAACGTATGGCTTTAGCACTTCATAATCGACTGTAAGAACCGAATTCTGATCTTAAAAGTCAGCTTCATCCTGCTTTTGTGCATTGTATTTCTGATTGTGGTATTAAGAACGCTCAAAAATATAAGACGACAGAAACCGGAATACTAAAATATGGGTTGGTTGGGTTTTACGCGCCATGTTTTGTAACATGTGCGGAGCAGGTGGCCCCGCATTGTACGAAATATTTTAGAATTCAGTATCCTTAGGGAGGTACTGCCCATCGAAGGCATTCTGGCGATATCCGAAATCACGCAGATTTCGAAATAAGCCAGGCCATGAGATAAGCTACAGACTCGGCTTCCAGCTTGTGAAATAGTTTATAAGTAATGAGAAATGGGGTCCAGTCATCGTTCATTGACTGCGTTGTCTTACCTTTTTGTGACCAATCGAAGCAAACATTGTTTCTCAGAGTTGCGATGGAACTTTACTGTTCACATAGGGGCAGATGTTATAGAGTTCCATAGCTTTTTTCGTGACTTTTTCGTTGAGTTTTGTTCAGCTGTTGCCTTCTGTTGGCACAGTGACGTATAATTAGGACGTTTGATGTGCAAACAGTCGGTACTCAACCATAGCACTCAAACTTCATATTGAAGTGTTCTCAGAATGGCGACGAAGTGATCTCGTTTATTGATGAAATTTATCTCGATCACCTATCCACTTTTACTCCTTCAGTGCATGTCGTAAGACCGTTGGGTGTAATTTTTCGGATCACCTTATGAGGAAGCGCTGAATGAAGTTTGTAGTGGCATGAGAGTGCGACTTCTCCTAGGCGTATTTGTTAGAAACGAAACTGCTTGTTCTTACATGCTCATCCAGATGTACTCTGACAAATGTTCCTAAGATGACGCGGGTTGGTACGTATATAAAAGGTGTCAGGTTATAGCTCAGTGTTGTCCACAAGAAGTTTTTGCCAGGCCTTTTCTGCTTTAGAAGGTTAATGTTAGTGTCCCGGACAAAATAAACGGTTTGCGGCACACCGGATCTTAATCGAGTGTAAGTACAAGTAGGTTCAATCTGCTCGTGTAGTAAAGGGAAAAAGTTCTACTACTTGTAAGGCAAGCTATTCGAAAATTGCTTCAGGTGAATTTACATGATCAAGAATTACATCATCGAAAGAAAGTGATAGTACTACATGTAAAGCATGTGATACTATGTGCCGTCCGGCCAGATAAATCTTTCTGAAAGGTATTTACCGAGTCTAGGTTGTGGAGTCTGCTATTGAAAAGTCCGAACGTAATGCAGAGGCAGCAAGGACATTGTCCTGGAACATTAATTCTCTATAATTGCGTGAAGCAGTTACTTTAGTATATTATCAAGCCGTTTGCGTGTTAGCGGGCGATGCCTAACGCATTGTTTACGCTGTAATTTTGTTGGTGTCGACTTGGAAAGGAGCAAAAACGTAGTGTGGTTTAGTAATACTCGAGCTAAATGTTTTATTTATTAAAATAAAAAATACAATAATTAAAAATGTCTGCTTTCGACGTTGGATGCCGTTTTTAAACTATAGATGTGATAAAAACTGTTACAAAAATATGATGGAGGTCCTATGACTTTAGTCGGTTAGTCTCGCAAGTGAAAGTACGACAAAACGACATCCCTGAAAGATGAAATACATTGACTGCTTTGTAAATAAGAGTCATGATAGCTTGTTTTCAACTAGGGTAGGTAGGCTTACGGTTTCGTTTTTCAGCGCGTCGGCTACCATGAAAGTTTTGCGAACTATAATTGATTGTAACAACTATTTAATTTCAATGTAAGTGCGATGTTCTGAGAGGTAGGTCGGCTCTATAATCAACTGCAATTGTTCTTACAGGCCATGTTTTTTTGGAAAAAGACTATTAGTAAATATTGTACGATTTAAAGAAGCAATCCAATGTTGCCTATTAGTAAAATTGTTATTTGTCCTCACCGTTGCGAACATTTATGACAAACTCAATTCCATGTTTCATTAAAGTCGGCGGGCCGTTTGTATTTGTGCCTTCCTTATAGTAGTTTAATAACAGCAGTTTCTCGGCATAATTATTCTATGTATGTAATACTGTCATTGTGGGCTCTGATACTGACGACGCTGCTTGTTGCGGCATCCTGGACATAACCTTCTGGAATAAAAAAATTGTCGTAGAAAAGACACAGGCGAGCTCTAGGTGGCCAAACTGACATTGCGCTAGTATCGCCTGTCATGGCCTTATGAAATTCTTTTGCAAGCTGCGAGCAAGTAAGTGCGCTTCTCGTTCAAGTCAAGCAGTTCGCTCAGGTGTTAACTATATTGTCTTGAAACTATTACTGGGCACTTTTACAGTCTATACCTTCGGCGGTATCTAATTAATAGTTAACATGGCCATGGGGGCACAATCCGCAAGAGTTCCTCTTATAAAATATTTACTATAATTGCGGAGACTTTCGTTAAATATTTTGAAATAGTTAGCTATACATGAGTGAAACTGACACGTGATGGTGTGGTAGGCCAAGATGATAAAGTGACTAATATGCATTTTTCTTTCAATTTTTTAGCTTTATTCAACTTTAAAAAATATTCTTCGTATGCAGCCATTTTCAAGCACTGCTCGTTTCGTTTCAGTGAATATCGCCACATGCTTTACTTCTCTAATGTGGATGGAAACCCTTGACATTCCGATGGCCAACTGTAATTGTTAGCATCCCTCTGATATCCAGCTAAACGTATTTTACTTTAGAAATTTTTCTTTCTGAACCTGTACATCCTACTATTCCTTTGCGCACTCGTTTCGATTACTTACCAACCTTCAGAATATATGTTCTAGCATTATTTTTGCCCTTATTAGTATTGCTACTTTTATGTAGTATGAAAACAAATACTGTTTTTAGTTCAGTTTGAGATCGGTAATGATATCGAAGTTTCACCATTAACCATATCAATGAGTTAGCAGTCTATCTATTTTCCGTTATCGGTCTTCCGATCATAACCTATCTGTCGTCATTAGCGTTGATATGGAAGTGACACTAATGGGCTCGAGTTTGGTAACGTCGACTACGTTTTGTTTTGATCGATGCGACTTGTTTTTGTTGTGGGAGAGCAGTTGACAAATGCGGCGGTAGTTCTCTCCATTAATCGCTAGCGCCTGCGCCGTTTCTCGGCGTTTCCTAAAGATAAATATCGTTTTCGTCGCAGACTCTGTAAGGGGAAGCGTTTCAGTAATCTAGGGCGGCAGTTATCGGAGTTGGGACGCATAACATCCCTGTAGCACATCCTTTCTTTTTAGAATTCTTTTTTCGTTTTTTCAAATTCGTCTCTCTGCCGCTTTTATTCTACCATGTTGACGGCACCAACTATTCTTAGTTGGTTGTAGAATCAATGTGAGTTCAACTCGGTATTATTATTACCCAGAAAAGCTATCAGGACAGATTTACACTGCGCCTGAAAAGTAACTGGAATTACCAAAAGATAGAGAAAAACTAGAATGACAAATTGGATAATCATAAAAATTCAACAGAAGTTTAGAACGATAGCAACAATGATTACTGTAGACGTGATACTTTCCAAGTGCTCGTATTCTCCGGGCAATTTTTGCCGGGTTCAGTAATGATATAATGGATTTGACGATTCGGGGAGATTATCTGCGGTCATTACCGTTGCCATTGGATAGGTAACTAGTGGGCTTGCTTGTTAATCTCTGCTACCCTCGCGATGCATCGTCCTGCCATAATTGACAGAAAGGGCTAAGTCAAAAAACGTAAACATGCGAATAGCAACACCTAATTCCTTTACATCAGCGCATAAATCATATCGAAGCAGTGGTGATAGAAAGTTCCTCGTCGTTACAGTAGCAAACCTGTTAAATCAGGTGGCAATCTATCATGGGACTCCAAGACAAAGATGGGTATAAGACATATGTATTGGTACGCCTTTCCTCGTGAATGGGTGACGACGGTATGCCGTCTGTTGCCCGGATACGAGATTATAATTGTTTACGATTTAAGAACTTACTGTCTGCGAATAAACATAATATAAGTAAGCCTCTTCGAGCGAAACGATCTCGAGTCCGCAGCTACGCATCGTAAGGCTTTTAATCAATGCGTAGGCTATTGGAAACTGCACAGCACCTTTCAAGTCCCTTCGAATTCAAAGCGTTTTATGAAGCACTATTATCCTATCAAGTCACTCTACAATAACTTTACAACTGAAATCTGTGCATTGGCAAAAAAGTTGCTGCGTCATTTACGCCAAGTGTCTTTGTCTAGGTAAACTATCTTAAAAGTAGTACCAAAGGAGATACGTTTCACACCTTTTCTCAGTTTAGGTAAGCTACAAACTACATAAGAGAATTTATTGTGAAAGTGCTAAGCGTATTTGTACACGCACCGCTAAAGGCGATCTCAAAGGAGCCAATCCAGATAGTGGTACGTGACCTGCGCTTATGACTAGAAACGGTTACGGCAGTTAAATCACGAGATAGCTCATTTCCGTTGCAAATTGTTACAAAAGAGACAGTTGACCTGACACATTCCGGATCATGGGCTTGGATGAATTTTTCGCTGAAAAAACTAGGTCATTTTTTCAAACGACAGTATTGTTTTGTATTGGGTGGATCTAACGGCTGTAAACAATTCGCAATTATCCATATCGACGGCGGCAAAGCAAATGCTAGTTTCTTAGTAATTAAATGAGCATGTAACCAACAAGCATGCGAAGGAGGAGTCGGCTGCACTCGATATCGTTCTATTTTGCAGTTTTATTGAAAACTATTTAGATTTTTCTAATCTTTTGGCCGTTATCAATACCGAATTGCTTGAAGGCATACCCATCTTCGAATTAGGCTATTCACTTAATATTCAAGAACACATCTGCTCACTTTTGACGGAAATAATATCATAGGTACCTAATTGACATGGCAATAGCAGCGGTTAGCCTGATCTCGACGAAGACATACCTTAGGGAAACTAGCTAGGTGATCACTCTTCCATCGTTCAAGTAAGGGCTGGAACAGATTAATACCAAATAAAACGTTCTTTGTATTGAAGTTAAGTTGCATTTTATCATGGAAGTGTTTCTTGTTCATATACAAAATGTAGAAACATATTATTCCTAGTCAAACAGAGATGAAATAGAAAAGCCGTTACCTTAAACAGCAGAAATGTATATATTAATATTGGCGAAGCAATGCATGATGTCCATCACTTTTGGACGCATTCATAGCAGACGGTACAAATTGGAGCATGAACTATCACGATAACATGCGTAGAAATACTATTTCTAACATTCATCAACTTACCATGGCTACTATCTGTATATATATAATATGACGTACTCTCTCTTGTAACAATCGCCCTAGAAAATCAGTGTACCTTTCCAACTACGTGTCGGATTTGAAAATATATCAAGGTTAGGCACATTGCAGTTTTATCGAAATGACTAGGTATTATATAGTTGGCGAGCACACAAATGCAGAACTGGTGCACAGGTTGTGCGTCGCAGCGCTAGGACAAGCTTGGTTTGCGAAAAAACCGTAGGCTTATACTAAATCTATTTATCCGATCTATTTTATTCAATAAATCCACCGTCCCACAGTCGCATCCGATGTCGATGATAATTTTGTACCTGTATTGCGTCCATGCGGCTATTATCCACGCTGTTCCCCAGTTCTCTGTTGAAAAAGTCCAACACGAATTATGCCTATGTTTTTTTTACTATTTTTAATTTTCGTTTTATTAATGCCAATAATTAGTTCAGGACAGTTTACGAATAAAAACTTCGCTATTACCGCTTAAAATGGGGAGAAATAATTATAGTAGTTAAATGACGCCATTTTTCCTCCATTTCCATCTCTTCAAAAATTTCGCAACGCTTTACCAACAGCTACCGTTAAACGTAGCCGTCGTCAGGTGTAAATATGTTACTGTTAATTGCGTTGGTGTTTGTTCACCTTGGTAGCTGCCTACAGGTGACATCGTCAAAACTCTTATTGCCAACACCGAAACGCCTTTAATCCATGTCCCGCCTTTAAACACTGCTTCAGACGGCTTACGTATTCTGGCGTGAAAGGCGTATATTAGGCCTGGTTTCTCACTTAGACCACTGCGTGTACACACGAACACATTAGTACGACATCATCATGGATACCAACGAGGACGATTTCACTGGGCTGAAGTAGTTATTTCGAGGAACCAATTTAACATTTGGGAAATCGTTAAGAAGACTCAGGGAAATATGGATTATCAATTGAATAACTTCATACTGCCATATAATTCAATTTCGTTTGAAGAGAGTAAGATACTGATTGAGTCTCAGAACTATTCAAGGACGTCCGATCAGAAATGAGCTTAAACCACAATGACACCAGTAATCGTGTGCTGATTTGGCACAGTAGAATTTTAGTGGGTTATTGGCAACCTGCGATATCTGTTGTCCTTCACGCGCGACCGAAGCTGTTTCTACGAAATTTCTAATTATTGTGGTGAGAATAATGTACTCCATACGTACTGTCGGTGAACTGTCGCTGTTGTTCAGAGGTCTATCTTAAAATCCGAATTCGCAATTTAAACTTTTCAAGCGCATTAGTAACCCGCCAAACTACCCCCAATGACTCGACGATATGGGAACCTTTCCAATCGGACTAATGTTGTTCGAATAATAGGCATGGCCACCCAAGAACATAATACCCACTGTTAACAAGAATAGCGCTAGGATAATCTAAGTGATTCTTTTTTTAGTGGTTTATGACACATGTGTACGCTTCAATCAATATGTGACGATTCAAAAGACTGAATCTCCGTATTTTGATACGCATTGCTACGCTTCGTAAAGCGAAATAGAACAGAAAAGTGCAAGATTATAATCTGAGCCTTTTACCTCCGTAGTTTACTTAGTCATGTATAATAATATGAACAAAATTTCTTTTCGTTTCTTAGAATTCAACATTCTAACCAATGGCTTTTAAGGTACCGCATCAAAGTTAACCGTTAAACCTCTCCTAAGAACTGCCGTTAGCTCGTGTGAGCCCTTATAATATAACAGCTAAAAGTTCAATGCAGATCCAGTGTTTGTATTGTTTTTCGAGGCTTGGGAGAACGCTTGCGTTGCGTGGGGAAGTTCGTAGCACACAGAGTTTCAGTTGCTGTTGAAAGTTTTATTCGATTGGAGCTGATTCACGATAAATTGAAATACAGCCATTGTTAACCTTGGTGTGGTCTTTTAGGTCATGGTCGAGTCACAGCCATGGGAGCCCGTCCCGTATCATTTCATATCATATTATCCGGGCGTCAGGATGTCATTCGTTTCTGTAGAATCACTTACAGTGAGCTTAATAATAGGAAAATGAATGCAGATTTCTTTTATTGGGTTGCGGTCACAAGCTACCTGATTCAACCCCGATTCTTAGAACGCAGAACAATGGTTACCGCTTCAATGCTTATGGCCAGACTTCTCGTATTAAATCCATATCTAAATGGGGACCTAGCCCAATTGGAACGCCTACCGAAATATGACTTTGTGGAGGTACGTTCGATTTCTTTGAATAGATTAGCTGCAGTTCGCGCAGTACTATATAGAATGTACGTATTCAAGTGATGATTGCAAGGGCAGCAATAAACAGGAAAGGGCGCGTTATCTCTATATTGTAACAAATGAACTTTTCTGCTTTGTTTCTGCTTTACTTTTTCAGGCAATGCACCGAGTCAGAGTCAAATGTGAGCTGTGACGATAACTTTCGTCGTTGTTATTTCTACCGCTGCAGTGTTGCATCAGGGACGCTGCAATTAAAGCAGTCGTCCGTTCTCTGATGGCCAGTGGTGGCGCACGCTCCGGCGGGGTGCTCGCCAACAGCCTACTTCTACCATGGGGAGCTCGGAAGGATCGAGCTGCAAACGCACTGCCGCTAGCAGTCGCAGGCGACACCGATGTTAAGCCGGGCGAATACGCGCTTCGGCTGCTGTTCGCTGAGTTGACGGTACAGGCCGAACGCAAGGTGGCGCTGGTCCTTACTGAGCCGCTTGAAAGGCCGCTAAGTAAAAGCCTGCAAAGAGGCGAAGATGCCGTCTTCGACCAGCTATTGGGCGCACTTGGAAGTGTTGCCGAACATTGCTTACCATCCCTATTAAAAACGCTATTTGCATGGTAGGTAAATTTAGAACCTGTTCACATGATATTAGTAATTTATTGCTTTACCCTTTTTTGTATAAGAAAGTTCACGGTTAAACCGCGACGATCGGTTTCTAAATTGACTCATAAAGTTGTATTAAGGACATGTTCTCACATTTCTTATTATTGTATAGTTTTGGTTGACTGACGAGTTGACCAAGTAGCGCCGCTTATCGATTCCGTCGAGTATGTCCGATAACAACCCAGAACAACAATTATCTTTTTCAATCCCTCAGTCAATATTTTCTAACTACTTCTTAGCAGCTTGCTATGATTTTTATAGAATTGCGTGTCGATCGTTGTCTATTACTCAGAACCATACTTTGTGCAGTGGAAATGTGGCTATTATTTGGACATCCAGATACACTAGATCACACCTACATGTAAGAGTAATTTATTTTGTTCGAGCCCGTGTCATTAACTATGTAATCATAACGGTATATTTAGATACAAATACGGGACTTTACTGATTCGCAGCGTACCATTAAAATCTGCCTTAAATTTGTCCTGTTCTTATCGACTTCTAGCCCTGCTTGCACGTTCTATTCATTCATCACTAGATCAAAATCGGCTGAGTCACTGAATAGGTAGTGACTTCAGAAACCTAACGAATCACGAATGCGGCGAAACCCAAACAGAAGAAAAAGGTTTCAAAAAGCCAGTATGGCTTCTGATTTTTCGTTCTCGATGGAGCGGAAGAAACTCTTGGTTGGTTAAACGGCTGATTTACGGGATCGAAAATGTTATTTCGCTGGCGCCGCTTATCCGTGTTAGGACTGCTCGTTGTAACAAGCTGTTCGGCCTTCTGTAGTAGTGGCAGACCGTGCCAGCTCTAGCGGTGGTTATTTCAATTTGCAAAGGAGGTGCTCATCCAGGAGCTGTTACTTGGGTGACGCTCGCATCTATTTCACCGCTGCCGTTACGCTAAACGACTCAGCAAAAGGCGGAAAAGCCACACTGCAAAGGCGCAGTGTTACCATTTGCCTATAAACTATTTCGATAAACTATTACACTCGAGTAGATTTAGACTTCGTAGCTTCGTCCCTGGCCCTGGTCTGTCAGTCACTTCCGCTCGGTCACTGCTTTTGGTAAACCGGTGACAGACCCGTATGTGAATATCTAGTTTCAGTCAACTAGAAATAGACTAAACGAAAATGCTACAGTGTCCCTGTATGTGTCCAAAAGGCAAAATGGCAGGAACAGATGAAAAAAAAAACAGACGAAGTATTAATCAGGGCAGGCAGAGATTCGTTTTCCATATGTTATCGTATGCCTGACAATAGCTGTTATTTCTCATGTGGATTTAATTTCTCATATGTTGTTGTGTTAATGTTCTAATCCTGATCATGGTCGCCAAGATGATCATCACTCACGTGAGCCAGCCATGGAGTGCCTTCTTTAACAAACCGGTCAACTGATACATACGTTCATTGAAAGATACTGTATTGTTCACGGGCTCCTCTATCAACGGCATTACTACGGCCGCTGGATTCGTCGTCCATTACCGTCCCGCCTCACTCCATCCTGATTCCGATGAGAAAAACCACTACGAGTCTTTGTGAATCAGCAACAGCGAGGCTGGTAGCAGTCGTGTTCTGTTGTTCTTTGTTGATAGAAGAATACTACATATCTGCCAACGCATTGCATTGTAGTACTGGATGGAGACGTGGTCGCTATTTGTTTCCGTTGTCGCCGCTTCTGTCATCGATGGCGTTGCCTGAGTTGTTGTTGTTGTTGTTGGGTGCTACGTGAAATGTGCGACAGGGTCCTTGTGGAGCGATTTTGCGGTCGCTGGAATAAATCTCATCCAACGGGTTGTTCTGCCGACACAATGCATTTATGGATATTGCGGCTTAGCGGCAAAACGAGCTGCCTCTATGGTGACGGTAACAAAAGCCCTCGACATTGTTCTAGCTAACTGGGTACCACCTCAGGTATACCGTTTCTTTGCTGACAAGTGCCTATTGTCTATTAGCTTTTTGTCGCGTGTTACCCTCAAGCTAGCAATATGCCAAACAAAACAAAGCAAGGCGCATTAAAAAGACAAGGCAGTGATGCATTTGTATTGAATATTAACACGACGTATAACGAACGAAGTCACTGGACGACAGAGGACCTTAATTACTTACTTGGATCTTTTGCCAATATTGATATCTGCGACGATAGATGATTGTATGTTTATCGCTCTGTACTTGCTGCTTTTTTGCTTGGGAAAAGAAATGTGCAGAGATGGCTCACTTACTACTGAAGTAAAGCAGCATTATGTGTAGAGTCCCATAGACACAACTACATCGACAACGTTTTGTCGTCACCGTCCACGTCGTTCTGTTTCAGACATTTGCCAACACTGCTGATCAGCCCCCGTTACTCGTTTTAGTACGGCCCAATTGAGCCACTAGTCTTCCACTCCAAATGGGGGGTTGCAGGAATAGAAGGAAAAAGCTGCTGTACTTGACCAAAAGTCAGTAGTAAACTCTGATGTCTCGAAACAATCAGGAATTAAAGCGCTTGAGGGAGCGCTGCCATTAAGAGAACAGTTACTTATTGCCCTTTTGTTGTCAGTGTCTTTATTTGATCCATGTATTAGCTGTTGTGTTAAACTCCGGGAAGAATCCTCCGAAACGCATCCGAGGGACTAGCAGAAGCTATCTGACGTCTCAGAGTTGGTTAGTTCCGCAGCAACAAAAAAGCTTTTCAAAATTAAATGTTGGGCCGTTGGGTTTGGGGGCGGTACATTGTGTTGATGAGCGATTTGACATTGACTCGTAACCAAGCAATCGGTGCAATGCACTGATAAGTTAATGCGGACGGATGGCTCATAGTTTAACTGCAGTTTTACTCGCAGCGACTAATGAAACACGAATAGTGAAACAAATCAATTAGTTTTCGTCGGCACAAGCAACATTGATCCGTTTCTCAGCCGCACCTGCCGCGGGCAAAGTTACACTGGCGCATATATGTTTAGGTTTGTGTATATTTATGCGTAGGCTGATAAAAGACGATGAAACAAGGAGACGGCAGCTGAAAAGAGTCGATCAAAAAAACTAGATTATCTGAACCCATTTGCTACAATGAAGTAGAATACAGTTAATACATACGAGCCTGCACCCCAGCTCACAGTTTCATTGGCCTTTTGTCGACAACAGACCAATGCGTTTAGGATGCAATGAATGATACGACTCGATAGCGGTTCAAGTGTTTATATAGTAAGCTTAAGTTAAGTTTGCAGGGTAACTGCGGATCGTGTACAGAATTACGGATACGTATCGAATATACTTGGTCATAGCAACCGGCTTTGCCTCTATTGCGAGGATGCCATTGCTATCGCTGAATTACTTGCCAGTGGTCTGCGCATAGGGCTGACTGCGCCAACCTCAGTCAGTGTCGTTTTTTGGATAGCGTTCGCCTGTAAGGCCTGCAACAAGAAAAATGAAACGTTACCGATAGGCCACTATCAAAAGTTATTACTCAGTCGATTTTGAATTCTGATTAGACGTGACGCAGAGCTATCCATATACATACGTTGATCCCCTAATTTAACATTATGTAGCTGATAGCAGATACATCTATATATAACCATGTGAGCAAATTGTCTGTTCACTTTTGTTATGTAAAAATGTGACTTTTAGTAGTTTATTGTCGTCTAAGATGTTGGTTGTTCCTATTGATGTGGAAAATTATTTTAGGTACGAAAAACAGGCCGTTGAGGGTCCCGCGCCAGCTACGCCTGCGCCGCAAGCACCTACTGAATCACCGATTGCACGTTTCCGGGCAGAATCAAATAAGTCAACGAAAGAATTGGAAAGCCGATCCGAGCATGACTACCTTCTCGAGCGGAGAGATCTCGCTATAGAGTTCATCTTCTGTCTTGTCCTCATCGAGGTACTTAAACAGCTACCGCTACACCCGGGCCATGAAGACCTTGTGCTGTATATTGAGAACCTTGCTTTCAAACACTTCAAGTTTCGGGAAGGGTCCCAGCAGGGTCCGAATGTTACTAACTTCAACATCATTGCCGATCTCTACGCCGAAGTTATCGGTGTGTTGGCGCAGAGTCGTTTCCAGTCTGTGCGAAAGTGCTTTATGAACGAGCTCAAGGAACTTCGGGCGCGCGAACCCTCAGCGCACACGACACAGAGTATCATCTCACTTCTCATGGGAATGAAGTTCTTCCGCATTAAGATGGTTCCTATTGAAGAGTTCGAGGCATCATTTCATTTCATACAAGAATGTGCTATTTACTTTCTCGAAGTGAAGGACAAAGATATTAAGCACGCGCTAGCTGGCCTCTTCGTTGAGATTCTTGTGCCGGTGGCTGCTGCCGTTAAGAATGAAGTCAACGTGCCATGTCTCAAGAACTTCGTCGATTTACTCTACCAACAGACACTGGACTTGTGTACGAAAAAGAAACACTCGTTAGCGTTATTTCCGTTGGTAACATGCCTTTTGTGTGTGTCGCAACGAGCCTTCTTCCTGCAAAATTGGCATTGTTTTTTGGCCATGTGTCTGTCGCATTTGAAGCACCGAGATCCCAAAATGTGCCGCGTTGCCCTCGAGTCCCTCTATCGGCTCCTTTGGGTGTACATGATTCGTATTAAGTGTGAAAGCAATCAGGCGACACATACGCGTCTACACAGCATCGTCAACTCGCTCTTTCCAAAGGGCAGTAAGGCGGTTGTGCCGCGGGAGACGCCTCTCAACATCTTCGTTAAAATTATTCAGTTTATCGCACAGGTAAGTAATGTTTGTCGTTTCTGTATAGATAAGTAAAAGTGTGTCGGCAAATTATGCATCATAGCTATGTATATGTATCTTTAGTAAGTCTTTACGTACTAGCCAAGCCCACCTGCAATTATTTAAATCAATTCTCCACCTTAACTCTGTATTGCCGATAGTCGAAACCATTTAGATTATCTTGTCAGTGTATATTTAACGGATGGCTCGCTGTAGGCTTGCTGTTATAGTACGTTTAACCGTTGAATCAGCAAGGAACACAGTATTTTGGCCATGATCAATAGAGAAAGAACGTATCTACATTCATACGATATCAGCAAATATTGATCGTTGTAATGGGTTCATCTTTTGCCTGTGGCAATGACTGGGACGTGCGATAGATAAATGGTTGAGCTCGAGCAATTTTGCACAGACAGATGTCGACGTTCGAGGTAAATCCAGTGATCGACTGCCACTTAAGCAGAATGACTAATCTTTCGTTACTGCTGTTGTTATTGGTAGCGTACGTAAGGGACAATGGTTATGTGACGTTGAAAATGAGCATTTTCCTTAACCATCGTAGCTATTGTCTCGTACGTTGAGTACCGTATTATTTTGTATAGCAGCAACGAAATCTGTCAGCGAATTGTTCTAGCCGCCGTAATTGTAGTGAGATATGCACTACCATAGTATAATCAGCCATCGTACTGGCAGCAGTAGTCAAGTAGGACACAGTCTACCAATCAGCTTTTTCGGCTGGTCCAGTGAGTGATCGTCCGTCCGTCCATCGTCATCTGCTTATGATATCATCCGCGTCATATCAGATCGAAATATTAATGCGCTATCGCTATTCGACATCATAATGAGCAATGGATCGTCCTTATCATATATCTCGCAGACAAAATGCACTACGGCACATGACATCCTGCCGTCACAAAATGTTAAAAAAAACGATAACTTAACACTAGATGAGAGTATCTGATAGCTGTGAGCTTTTCACCTATCCTAAAATTGCATATACAAATAAATTTTTTATCTACAGATTATATGGGCGCTATATCATTATCAGCTAACATGCAATGTTTGAATGTACAGTTTATTGGAAAGAAGAGATAACAGCTGACGGGTCTGCTGATGCGAGTGCGCGACGCGCACAGAGGCGACGATGAATTGCTTTCTAAGTATCGGTAATGCTTATTGCATCATGCAGCCTACTCCAAATAGGAGTATGCTTCATAGTAAAGGTAGGCCTTGTAAATGACGTAGGCGGGAGTCGAGACAATTCAACTTCATGGCTTTTTATTTGCAATGTAACTCACTTCTCTCCATGCACATAGGTTATACACTGTGCATATATGCGATGTGTACCCACATTGTATTTCCCCATACTGACTACGTGGGGAATTATGTGATATTCTTCGTTGTCGACCAATCCAGCGGCCATTCAACGTTGCTTATTCGTATCCTCCACTATTATACTATGATACCGTCTATGTAAATACTCCACTTTTCCGCTATTGCTGTTACCGTTACTAGCAGAAGAGAATTTATCCTTCTCGAGCAAAGTACAAACAATAGCTTCGTCGTTATCCTAATTTTCTGTCTATATTTTTCGGTGTATTATGGTGACAAAAAGCAGCGTGTCAAGAGGAAAGGTTATCGTCGTTTGTCGGTCGGCGTTACCTGAGCAACATTTTTACCGCCTATATATTTTTTGTGTGTCCGTCCTTCTCACCGTTTCTGTAATTTCGTGCACAATGACGTTATTTATCTTGGAGCTCTGAAATTAGTATAAAATGAAGAGTGAAGTTTTTTTATTAGGCCTCTGTGTGGCGGAGCTCCGGAGCATGTGTTAAGCGACGTTTCTCTACCAACAGCTCTAGCGACAATGGGAATGATGATAAAGCACTGAGCTCGAATATGGGGCAGAACTTTGTCCTCTCCATAATATCGTCCTAACCTATTGGAGAGGTTATCGTATATTATATACGTGTATTTATGCACCTTATACATAATGGATGCTGTAATAGCCGCGGCCATAATGGCAGTGATACAGGACCTACGGAACAATCGAAAGAGCACACATGTGATAGTAATAATGTGCTCCTAGTGAACTGCTGTTAACTGCAGAGCATCTATAGTTATAATAAATCATTCCGAAGGCTCGTTCAACGAATGCTCAAAGGGGTTTCTAGGTGTAAGTATGTGCGTGGACATGATAAGGCTTAGATGATATGCGTGAGTCGGACTCTAGGTTAGACGTGAAACAGTCTTATTTATTACGTATATATCACAGCATAATGTTGTGTCTTGTTGGAAGACGAACGGTGATTGGGTGAAAGGAAAGGGGAAAGAAAAAACTGGTTTCTTGGATAGAACGAGACACAAGTAGAAAATGGTTATTTATAGCAGTTTGTAGAATATTGACTTATAGCGAGCGTATTGATTTTGATGTTGTATTCGGCAGGCATTTGTCGTTAACTGACGATTATTGCGCCCTATAGGTGACTGTTCACATACGGAATACTAGCTATGAATGTTAAAAATGCCCATGTATAGAAGGGCAATTAAGGTACAGCCTATGCAGACGGATACTTCGATGGTGAATCTTTTGTAGGCTATCGCTGGGCGACTGACGACTAAGGCAGCGTGGGATGAGGCCCTTTGTGTTACTAAATATAGTTACTAGCAATAATCGTACGGGTGTTTTTGGACAGTTTGCCATATAAAAGGTAGATAGCAAGTGTTTGTGCGTGTGGTAATAGGTCGGGTTGACCTCCCTTCGTGGCAGGTTATCTTCAGGGAAACCAAATTTGTTAAATCTGAGTCAGCCATAGCGTGTCTCCCCAACTCTGCCAACTGCGAGCTCCATTTATTTTTAAAACATGCATCAAAATAGACTTAAAATAGCTTTCTACACTATATTAAGTAGTCATTATGCTTAGACCTTTCGTAAATTCGATATTTACGCTGGGTAGTTGCTGTATATGCGTAGAATTTTCAAATAAAATGCTTTGTACTCCTTAGGGATTCCGTCCTTCTTAAATAATATGGCTTATGATGTAAAGTCAATCTGGCCTAAATATAAGGAGCTTTTTCTAGTTGGTAGAGAGACTAAAATTTCTTACTGCTCAGAGCTATCATACCTATATTTAGCTTTTCAGGCTGAATAACAGACAACAAGCTTGATAGCATCCCAACGAGAGAGAAAGATTAAGGTATATAGCAATTGATTGATTTTGTTCTATTAAATACTGCAGTATTACTAAACAAAATTCAAATCCATTACTTTGTATATATAGATGCGCTTGTAGCATGCGATCAGTGTAACAGTTCAGATATGGTATTCCGCAAATGTAGCATAATCGCACTGAAGTATCCGAATGACATCAAGGATCGGGTCTATTTCATACCAGTTTCAAGTAACACGTATCACTGCCCCCAACTTCCGGGAGTTCTTTCAGAGTAGAGTGGCAGAAACCTATATGGAATAAGCGTGCTATTGAAGAAGAACAAATGAAGCTATTGCGTGCCACGTGCATAGAGCTCGAATACGCAGCAAGTGGCGACACTCACACACGGTCACACAGTGACACGGATCCGATCAAATACAGAGACTGTTTGGCTGATCCAATGGTGTTACGCATCGCCATTTATTAATTAATGCATAGAACTATCGTTGAAATAGCCGTCGTTAGCGAGATACTAAAAATATGCTTTGCCGCTGTTAGGCATCCAGCATTAGACAGCTCTTGGTCATGCGCTCTCTACCATTATGACACGTATGTATGTATGTATGTATGCTAGGGAGATCTGTGCGTCACCTGTACAATCACTATTCCCCACGTTCTATATTGAAATTCGAAATCATTATAGTTTTCATAGTGATTGCGGCTTTTTTGCATGATTTTAGATGTCCTGATTTACCTAAATTAGTTTTGCGGTTACTGGCAATTTGTTTCGACTTTGATCTGATCCGGTGCGCTACGTGCAGCTTATTGACTGGACTTCTTGCGTCGCAGGTTTCGCTTGGGCATAACATAAAACAAACTACACGCACACACATACACAGAAGTTCCATAAGAAGATTCGTGAAGAGGTTCTGGAAGACAGAGGCGGTCGGTCGTACGTACGTGGTCGGTAGTCGTCAAATGTTATTACTGCTACTGAGTTATAAAAATACGTCTAGTAGTGGAAATGGTGTGATAGCGGCGGTGATGAGTTCGCTGTACGTAGAGCATCGCTGTCTTCTCCTAATTGATGATAACAGATCAAATGGATTCTGCGTAGCCGGCCGGAAAAGTTGAACTTAATCGGTTATAGACTGTTAGTCTATGTATAGTCTGTTGGTCGTCGTTGTTCATTTACTGTTTGTATATCAATGTACCGGAGTAGCTATCTCTCGTATCTTTGGGTGCCGAGACGGTACTAGGTGGTGACTTGTTTGGTGGCCGATGTCGCCCTGCTAGTTTAGCGGACTTCGGGTTTCCTTTATGGCCTTTACCAACCGATGTAGTTTTTATCTTTCATAGCGTGTATCTATTATGTATTATGATTAAAGACGGTTGCAGTCAAAACAAAGATGATCCTTTCATGTTCAAGGCGATCTGCTCTGATATTTTTTCTCCTTCCGCTCGATCTCGCGAATTTATAGTACGATGCCTGAAGTAAAGTCTGTCTACATATTGAGGTCAGCAGCTATGGGATCTAATAACTAGCTATATGAGCTACTGACAGATACAGCGACAGGTAGGACGTTCTCCAAGGGAAACAATTACGCGTAGCGCTTTATAGGTGGAATACCTATTTATGCAAAGATCATCGGACTCGGTTTAAGTTTAATCGGTGGACTTGTTCTATCACTTAGACGCAGGGGATACGGAATGACGAAATTATTTCCTGTAGAGTTCGTGCCATCCAGCCTTCGCCAGGTTACTCCTGGCTATCATTTACGTATGAACAAATGTTACGCTGGTGTATTTACGTGTAGTAGTTATTCCAGCTTTACAACTCGATCATTA